AGCAGTATAATTGGTAGCAGTATTGTTATTATTATTATTATTATTATTAGTGGTAATAATGAAATTAATGATTATACGAGGAAGAAGAATAATGATAACAATGTTACTAGTGTTAGTGGTGCTATTTGTACATTATTTGAATTACTGTTATTAGTAGTAGTGTTTGTATGGTTGTTGTTGTTGTTTGGTTGTGTGTCCCAGTGTTCGTGAAGGTGTGTGTGAGAGTAGGATCTGTGTATGGTGTTGTGACAGAGACCGTGTGACAGTGTTGTTGTGGTTCGTAGACAGTGTGCGTGTGTCGGTGGGTGAGTGTGCGAGCGAGCGAGCTAGCTAGCCAGCCAGCCAGCCTGCGACGAACTTCTGTATTGTGTAAATTGGGCCAGATACGGCCTAGAAAAATTGCATCCGACAACGATATTTCACGCCATCGGTGCGGGGTATTGGGAGTAGTTTTCAACTAGCAATAACCGCGCCTCAGATAAACTTCATTGGCTACGGTACCGCCACTGCGCAAAGTCAACCAGACAAGTCCAATCAACACGTAGCCACCACACCACTCTAACTAAATATTCACACATCCATTTGCACATCAAACACTGACACATACACAAACACCACACTGAACACCACCATTTCACATACTCATGACCAAATAGAACATTTCAACCAAAACAACAACAACAACAATGATTGTAATTGTGATGGAGATGATGATGATGATGATGATGATGATGATGATGATGATGATGATGATGATGATGATGATGATGATGATGATGATGATGATGATGATGATGATGATGATGATGATGATGATGATGATGATGATGATGATGATGATGATGATGATGATGATGATGATGATGATGATGATGATGATGATGATGATGATGATGATGATGATGATGATGATGATGATGATGATGATGATGATGATGATGATGATGATGATGATGATGATGATGATGATGATGATGATGATGATGATGATGATGATGATGATGATGATGATGATGATGATGATGATGATGATGATGATGATGATGATGATGATGATGAAAAAAACAACAACAACATCATCTACTACTACTACTACTACTACTACTTTTACTACTAACACATTACTAATTTAACACTGCCACAACGATACATATGTCAACTGCAATTGAATTAGCGATTGTACTCACTTAATCATCTATCTACACAAACGCACGCACGCGAACACTAATGTGAATTGCTACCATTAACACTTGACAAAACTACCTCACTGAGAATCGTCTCCTCGTTGCTCATTGTCGCTCACTGCATGACAGCGATGCGAGAACAAACACCCACACAACAAAGGAAGTCATGATCACACCACTGTGCATAATCCTATGTAGAAATATCTATCTAACTATTTACATAATTCCTATGTACACAGATAGTCATGTCTGATGAGAGAGTGAGAGGTTGAATGTGTTAGCAGCTCAATGAATAAGTATCTCGGTTGATCATTGAACACGTCAAACAACTTCAATTCGATCTGCCATACTACATGCATAATTCTCTCTACTCACTACCCTAGATACATCACACGTTACCACGAACTTCATGCTAATGATCAGTGTGATCGTTATGACGATGTGTGGTTTCTGATCGATGTGCACTGACACTGTGTTCGAGTTCCACCTGCACTGTAATGACGAGTTGGCATGTAACATAGAATGTGTGCGTGTGAGGTAGCGAGCGATAGGGCCAGCAAGCGAGTGTTTGTTTTTATGTGTGTGTCGAGAGAGAGTGTGTTTGAGCGTGCGCCTGCACGTGTGCGTGCTCGTGTGCGTACGCGTACGCATCAGACTGTTTGTGTGCAACACACACAACGATTGAATGTGGTGATGTAGGTTTGTGTTGTGGTAAGTGTTGGTGATGAGTTGCTGTTGCTGCTGCATGAGAACTATGCTAAGGGGAGATGTGTGCATAAGCGAGAGTTGAGTGTGTTATAATAGGTTGTAATTTTCCGGTTGTGTGGTATTTGTCATTATTGGCAGTTGTAGTAAAAGCAGCAGTGGCGATATGAGAAGTAGTAGTAGTAGTAGTAGTAGTAGTAGTAGTAGTAGTAGTAGTAGTAGCATTATTAGTAGTCGTAGCAGTATAATTGGTAGCAGTATTATTATTATTATTATTATTAGTGGTAATAATGAAATTAATGATTATACGAGGAAGAAGAATAATGATAACAATGTTACTAGTGTTAGTGGTGCTATTTGTACATTATTTGAATTACTGTTATTAGTAGTAGTGTTTGTATGGTTGTTGCTGTTGTTTGGTTGTGTGTCCAAGTGTTCGTGAAGGTGTGTGTGAGAGTAGGATCTGTGTATGGTGTTGTGACAGAGACTGTGTGACAGTGTTGTTGTGGTTCGTAGACAGTGTGCGTGTGTCGGTGGGTGAGTGTGCGAGCGAGCGAGCTAGCTAGCCAGCCAGCTAGCCTGCGACGAACATCTGTATTGTGTAAATTGGGCCAGATACGGCCTAGAAAAATTGCATCCGACAACGATATTTCACGCCATCGGTGCGGGGTATTGGGAGTAGTTTTCAACTAGCAATAACCGCGCCTCAGATAAACTTCATTGGCTACGGTACCGCCACTGCGCAAAGTCAACCAGACAAGCCCAATCAACACGTAGCCACCACACCACTCTAACTAAATATTCACACATCCATTTGCACATCAAACACTGACACATACACAAACACCACACTGAACACCACCATTTCACATACTCATGACCAAATAGAACATTTCAACCAAAACAACAACAACAACAATGATTGTAATTGTGATGGAGATGATGATGATGATGATGATGATGATGATGATGATGATGATGATGATGATGATGATGATGATGATGATGATGATGATGATGATGATGATGATGATGATGATGATGATGATGATGATGATGATGATGATGATGATGATGATGATGATGATGATGATGATGATGATGATGATGATGATGATGATGATGATGATGATGATGATGATGATGATGATGATGATGATGATGATGATGATGATGATGATGATGATGATGATGATGATGATGATGATGATGATGATGATGATGATGATGATGATGATAATGAAAAAAACAACAACAACATCATCTACTACTACTACTACTACTACTACTAACACATTACTAATTTAACACTGCCACAACGATACATATGTCAACTGCAATTGAATTAGCGATTGTACTCACTTAATCATCTATCTACACAAACGCACGCACGCAAACACTAATGTGAATTGCTACCATTAACACTTGACAAAACTACCTCACTGAGAATCGTCTCCTCGTTGCTCATTGTCGCTCACTGCATGACAGCGATGCGAGAACAAACACCCACACAACAAAGGAAGTCATGATCACACCACTGTGCATAATCCTATGTAGAAATATCTATCTAACTATTTACATAATTCCTATGTACACAGATAGTCATGTCTGATGAGAGAGTGAGAGGTTGAATGTGTTAGCAGCTCAATGAATAAGTATCTCGGTTGATCATTGAACACGTCAAACAACTTCAATTCGATCTGCCATACTACATGCATAATTCTCTCTACTCACTACCCTAGATACATCACACGTTACCACGAACTTCATGCTAATGATCAGTGTGATCGTTATGACGATGTGTGGTTTCTGATCGATGTGCACTGACACTGTGTTCGAGTTCCACCTGCACTGTAATGACGAGTTGGCATGTAACATAGAATGTGTGCGTGTGAGGTAGCGAGCGATAGGGCCAGCAAGCGAGTGTTTGTTTTTATGTGTGTGTCGAGAGAGAGTGTGTTTGAGCGTGCGCCTGCACGTGTGCGTGCTCGTGTGCGTACGCGTACGCATCAGACTGTTTGTGTGCAACACACACAACGATTGAATGTGGTGATGTAGGTTTGTGTTGTGGTAAGTGTTGGTGATGAGTTGCTGTTGCTGCTGCATGAGAACTATGCTAAGGGGAGATGTGTGCATAAGCGAGAGTTGAGTGTGTTATAATAGGTTGTAATTTTCCGGTTGTGTGGTATTTGTCATTATTGGCAGTTGTAGTAAAAGCAGCAGTGGCGATATGAGAAGTAGTAGTAGTAGTAGTAGTAGTAGTAGTAGTAGTAGTAGTAGCATTATTAGTAGTCGTAGCAGTATAATTGGTAGCAGTATTATTATTATTATTATTATTATTATTAGTGGTAATAATGAAATTAATGATTATACGAGGAAGAAGAATAATGATAACAATGTTACTAGTGTTAGTGGTGCTATTTGTACATTATTTGAATTACTGTTATTAGTAGTAGTGTTTGTATGGTTGTTGCTGTTGTTTGGTTGTGTGTCCAAGTGTTCGTGAAGGTGTGTGTGAGAGTAGGATCTGTGTATGGTGTTGTGACAGAGACTGTGTGACAGTGTTGTTGTGGTTCGTAGACAGTGTGCGTGTGTCGGTGGGTGAGTGTGCGAGCGAGCGAGCTAGCTAGCTTGCTAGCCAGCCAGCCAGCCTGCGACGAACATCTGTATTGTGTAAATTGGGCCAGATACGGCCTAGAAAAATTGCATCCGACAACGATATTTCACGCCATCGGTGCGGGGTATTGGGAGTAGTTTTCAACTAGCAATAACCGCGCCTCAGATAAACTTCATTGGCTACGGTACCGCCACTGCGCAAAGTCAACCAGACAAGCCCAATCAACACGTAGCCACCACACCACTCTAACTAAATATTCACACATCCATTTGCACATCAAACACTGACACATACACAAACACCACACTGAACACCACCATTTCACAAACACACACACTCAACATCAACATACACACCAAAATCAACATTATCAACCGCATCAACACCGAACAACACTGCTCAGCAACACTTTCCATTCTGATCACATACAACCAATCATACTACTTATACACACATTCTCAGTAGCCAGTCTACTCATGACCAAATAGAACATTTCAACCAAAACAACAACAACAACAATGATTGTAATGATGATGGAGATGATGATGATGATGATGATGATGATGATGATGATGATGATGATGATGATGATGATGATGATGATGATGATGATGATGATGATGATGATGATGATGATGATGATGATGATGATGATGATGATGATGATGATGATGATGATGATGATGATGATGATGATGATGATGATGATGATGATGATGATGATGATGATGATGATGATGATGATGATGATGATGATGTGATGATGATGATGATGATGATGATGATGATGATGATGATGATGATGATGATGATGATGATGATGATGATGATGATGATGATGATGATGATGATGATGATGATGATGATGATGATGATGATGATGATGATGATGATGAAAAAAACAACAACAACATCATCTACTACTACTACTACTACTACTACTACTACTACTAACACATTACTAATTTAACACTGCCACAACGATACATATGTCAACTGCAATTGAATTAGCGATTGTACTCACTTAATCATCTATCTACACAAACGCACGCACGCAAACACTAATGTGAATTGCTACCATTAACACTTGACAAAACTACCTCACTGAGAATCGTCTCCTCGTTGCTCATTGTCGCTCACTGCATGACAGCGATGCGAGAACAAACACCCACACAACAAAGGAAGTCATGATCACACCACTGTGCATAATCCTATGTAGAAATATCTATCTAACTATTTACATAATTCCTATGTACACAGATAGTCATGTCTGATGAGAGAGTGAGAGGTTGAATGTGTTAGCAGCTCAATGAATAAGTATCTCGGTTGATCATTGAACACGTCAAACAACTTCAATTCGATCTGCCATACTACATGCATAATTCTCTCTACTCACTACCCTAGATACATCACACGTTACCACGAACTTCATGCTAATGATCAGTGTGATCGTTATGACGATGTGTGGTTTCTGATCGATGTGCACTGACACTGTGTTCGAGTTCCACCTGCACTGTAATGACGAGTTGGCATGTAACATAGAATGTGTGCGTGTGAGGTAGCGAGCGATAGGGCCAGCAAGCGAGTGTTTGTTTTTATGTGTGTGTCGAGAGAGAGTGTGTTTGAGCGTGCGCCTGCACGTGTGCGTGCTCGTGTGCGTACGCGTACGCATCAGACTGTTTGTGTGCAACACACACAACGATTGAATGTGGTGATGTAGGTTTGTGTTGTGGTAAGTGTTGGTGATGAGTTGCTGTTGCTGCTGCATGAGAACTATGCTAAGGGGAGATGTGTGCATAAGCGAGAGTTGAGTGTGTTATAATAGGTTGTAATTTTCCGGTTGTGTGGTATTTGTCATTATTGGCAGTTGTAGTAAAAGCAGCAGTGGCGATATGAGAAGTAGTAGTAGTAGTAGTAGTAGTAGTAGTAGTAGCATTATTAGTAGTCGTAGCAGTATAATTGGTAGCAGTATTATTATTATTATTATTATTATTAGTGGTAATAATAAAATAATGATTATACGAGGAAGAAGAATAATGATAACAATGTTACTAGTGTTAGTGGTGCTATTTGTACATTATTTGAATTACTGTTATTAGTAGTAGTGTTTGTATGGTTGTTGCTGTTGTTTGGTTGTGTGTCCAAGTGTTCGTGAAGGTGTGTGTGAGAGTAGGATCTGTGTATGGTGTTGTGACAGAGACTGTGTGACAGTGTTGTTGTGGTTCGTAGACAGTGTGCGTGTGTCGGTGGGTGAGTGTGCGAGCGAGCGAGCTAGCTAGCTTGCTAGCCAGCCAGCCAGCCTGCGACGAACATCTGTATTGTGTAAATTGGGCCAGATACGGCCTAGAAAAATTGCATCCGACAACGATATTTCACGCCATCGGTGCGGGGTATTGGGAGTAGTTTTCAACTAGCAATAACCGCGCCTCAGATAAACTTCATTGGCTACGGTACCGCCACTGCGCAAAGTCAACCAGACAAGCCCAATCAACACGTAGCCACCACACCACTCTAACTAAATATTCACACATCCATTTGCACATCAAACACTGACACATACACAAACACCACACTGAACACCACCATTTCACAAACACACACACTCAACATCAACATACACACCAAAATCAACATTATCAACCGCATCAACACCGAACAACACTGCTCAGCAACACTTTCCATTCTGATCACATACAACCAATCATACTACTTATACACACATTCTCAGTAGCCAGTCTACTCATGACCAAATAGAACATTTCAACCAAAACAACAACAACAACAATGATTGTAATGATGATGGAGATGATGATGATGATGATGATGATGATGATGATGATGATGATGATGATGATGATGATGATGATGATGATGATGATGATGATGATGATGATGATGATGATGATGATGATGATGATGATGATGATGATGATGATGATGATGATGATGATGATGATGATGATGATGATGATGATGATGATGATGATGATGATGATGATGATGATGATGATGATGATGATGATGATGATGATGATGATGATGATGAAAAAAAAACAACAACATCATCTACTACTACTACTACTACTACTACTACTACTACTACTACTACTACTACTACTACTACTACTACTACTACTAACACATTACTAATTTAACACTGCCACAACGATACATATGTCAACTGCAATTGAATTAGCGATTGTACTCACTTAATCATCTATCTACACAAACGCACGCACGCAAACACTAATGTGAATTGCTACCATTAACACTTGACAAAACTACCTCACTGAGAATCGTCTCCTCGTTGCTCATTGTCGCTCACTGCATGACAGCGATGCGAGAACAAACACCCACACAACAAAGGAAGTCATGATCACACCACTGTGCATAATCCTATGTAGAAATATCTATCTAACTATTTACATAATTCCTATGTACACAGATAGTCATGTCTGATGAGAGAGTGAGAGGTTGAATGTGTTAGCAGCTCAATGAATAAGTATCTCGGTTGATCATTGAACACGTCAAACAACTTCAATTCGATCTGCCATACTACATGCATAATTCTCTCTACTCACTACCCTAGATACATCACACGTTACCACGAACTTCATGCTAATGATCAGTGTGATCGTTATGACGATGTGTGGTTTCTGATCGATGTGCACTGACACTGTGTTCGAGTTCCACCTGCACTGTAATGACGAGTTGGCATGTAACATAGAATGTGTGCGTGTGAGGTAGCGAGCGATAGGGCCAGCAAGCGAGTGTTTGTTTTTATGTGTGTGTCGAGAGAGAGTGTGTTTGAGCGTGCGCCTGCACGTGTGCGTGCTCGTGTGCGTACGCGTACGCATCAGACTGTTTGTGTGCAACACACACAACGATTGAATGTGGTGATGTAGGTTTGTGTTGTGGTAAGTGTTGGTGATGAGTTGCTGTTGCTGCTGCATGAGAACTATGCTAAGGGGAGATGTGTGCATAAGCGAGAGTTGAGTGTGTTATAATAGGTTGTAATTTTCCGGTTGTGTGGTATTTGTCATTATTGGCAGTTGTAGTAAAAGCAGCAGTGGCGATATGAGAAGTAGTAGTAGTAGTAGTAGTAGTAGTAGCATTATTAGTAGTCGTAGCAGTATAATTGGTAGCAGTATTATTATTATTATAATTATTATTAGTGGTAATAATAAAATAATGATTATACGAGGAAGAAGAATAATGATAACAATGTTACTAGTGTTAGTGGTGCTATTTGTACATTATTTGAATTACTGTTATTAGTAGTAGTGTTTGTATGGTTGTTGCTGTTGTTTGGTTGTGTGTCCAAGTGTTCGTGAAGGTGTGTGTGAGAGTAGGATCTGTGTATGGTGTTGTGACAGAGACTGTGTGACAGTGTTGTTGTGGTTCGTAGACAGTGTGCGTGTGTCGGTGGGTGAGTGTGCGAGCGAGCGAGCTAGCTAGCTTGCTAGCCAGCCAGCCAGCCTGCGACGAACATCTGTATTGTGTAAATTGGGCCAGATACGGCCTAGAAAAATTGCATCCGACAACGATATTTCACGCCATCGGCGCGGGGTATTGGGAGTAGTTTTCAACTAGCAATAACCGCGCCTCAGATAAACTTCATTGGCTACGGTACCGCCACTGCGCAAAGTCAACCAGACAAGCCCAATCAACACGTAGCCACCACACCACTCTAACTAAATATTCACACATCCATTTGCACATCAAACACTGACACATACACAAACACCACACTGAACACCACCATTTCACAAACAAACACACTCAACATCAACATACACACCAAAATCAACATTATCAACCGCATCAACACCGAACAACACTGCTCAGCAACACTTTCCATTCTGATCACATACAACCAATCATACTACTTATACACACATTCTCAGTAGCCAGTCTACTCATGACCAAATAGAACATTTCAACCAAAACAACAACAACAACAATGATTGTAATGATGATGGAGATGATGATGATGATGATGATGATGATGATGATGATGATGATGATGATGATGATGATGATGATGATGATGATGATGATGATGATGATGATGATGATGATGATGATGATGATGATGATGATGATGATGATGATGATGATGATGATGATGATGATGATGATGATGATGATGATGATGATGATGATGATGATGATGATGATGATGATGATGATGATGATGATGATGATGATGATGATGATGAAAAAAACAACAACAACATCATCTACTACTACTACTACTACTACTACTACTACTACTACTACTACTACTACTACTACTACTACTACTACTACTACTAACACATTACTAATTTAACACTGCCACAACGATACATATGTCAACTGCAATTGAATTAGCGATTGTACTCACTTAATCATCTATCTACACAAACGCACGCACGCAAACACTAATGTGAATTGCTACCATTAACACTTGACAAAACTACCTCACTGAGAATCGTCTCCTCGTTGCTCATTGTCGCTCACTGCATGACAGCGATGCGAGAACAAACACCCACACAACAAAGGAAGTCATGATCACACCACTGTGCATAATCCTATGTAGAAATATCTATCTAACTATTTACATAATTCCTATGTACACAGATAGTCATGTCTGATGAGAGAGTGAGAGGTTGAATGTGTTAGCAGCTCAATGAATAAGTATCTCGGTTGATCATTGAACACGTCAAACAACTTCAATTCGATCTGCCATACTACATGCATAATTCTCTCTACTCACTACCCTAGATACATCACACGTTACCACGAACTTCATGCTAATGATCAGTGTGATCGTTATGACGATGTGTGGTTTCTGATCGATGTGCACTGACACTGTGTTCGAGTTCCACCTGCACTGTAATGACGAGTTGGCATGTAACATAGAATGTGTGCGTGTGAGGTAGCGAGCGATAGGGCCAGCAAGCGAGTGTTTGTTTTTATGTGTGTGTCGAGAGAGAGTGTGTTTGAGCGTGCGCCTGCACGTGTGCGTGCTCGTGTGCGTACGCGTACGCATCAGACTGTTTGTGTGCAACACACACAACGATTGAATGTGGTGATGTAGGTTTGTGTTGTGGTAAGTGTTGGTGATGAGTTGCTGTTGCTGCTGCATGAGAACTATGCTAAGGGGAGATGTGTGCATAAGCGAGAGTTGAGTGTGTTATAATAGGTTGTAATTTTCCGGTTGTGTGGTATTTGTCATTATTGGCAGTTGTAGTAAAAGCAGCAGTGGCGATATGAGAAGTAGTATTAGTAGTAGCATTATTAGTAGTCGTAGCAGTATAATTGGTAGCAGTATTATTATTATTATAATTATTATTAGTGGTAATAATAAAATAATGATTATACGAGGAAGAAGAATAATGATAACAATGTTACTAGTGTTAGTGGTGCTATTTGTACATTATTTGAATTACTGTTATTAGTAGTAGTGTTTGTATGGTTGTTGCTGTTGTTTGGTTGTGTGTCCAAGTGTTCGTGAAGGTGTGTGTGAGAGTAGGATCTGTGTATGGTGTTGTGACAGAGACTGTGTGACAGTGTTGTTGTGGTTCGTAGACAGTGTGCGTGTGTCGGTGGGTGAGTGTGCGAGCGAGCGAGCTAGCTAGCTTGCTAGCCAGCCAGCCAGCCTGCGACGAACATCTGTATTGTGTAAATTGGGCCAGATACGGCCTAGAAAAATTGCATCCGACAACGATATTTCACGCCATCGGCGCGGGGTATTGGGAGTAGTTTTCAACTAGCAATAACCGCGCCTCAGATAAACTTCATTGGCTACGGTACCGCCACTGCGCAAAGTCAACCAGACAAGCCCAATCAACACGTAGCCACCACACCACTCTAACTAAATATTCACACATCCATTTGCACATCAAACACTGACACATACACAAACACCACACTGAACACCACCATTTCACAAACACACACACTCAACATCAACATACACACCAAAATCAACATTATCAACCGCATCAACACCGAACAACACTGCTCAGCAACACTTTCCATTCTGATCACATACAACCAATCATACTACTTATACACACATTCTCAGTAGCCAGTCTACTCATGACCAAATAGAACATTTCAACCAAAACAACAACAACAACAATGATTGTAATGATGATGGAGATGATGATGATGATGATGATGATGATGATGATGATGATGATGATGATGATGATGATGATGATGATGATGATGATGATGATGATGATGATGATGATGATGATGATGGATGATGATGATGATGATGATGATGATGATGATGATGATGATGATGATGATGATGATGATGATGATGATGATGATGATGATGATGAAAAAAAAACAACAACATCATCTACTACTACTACTACTACTACTACTACTACTACTACTACTACTACTACTACTACTACTACTACTACTACTACTACTAACACATTACTAATTTAACACTGCCACAACGATACATATGTCAACTGCAATTGAATTAGCGATTGTACTCACTTAATCATCTATCTACACAAACGCACGCACGCAAACACTAATGTGAATTGCTACCATTAACACTTGACAAAACTACCTCACTGAGAATCGTCTCCTCGTTGCTCATTGTCGCTCACTGCATGACAGCGATGCGAGAACAAACACCCACACAACAAAGGAAGTCATGATCACACCACTGTGCATAATCCTATGTAGAAATATCTATCTAACTATTTACATAATTCCTATGTACACAGATAGTCATGTCTGATGAGAGAGTGAGAGGTTGAATGTGTTAGCAGCTCAATGAATAAGTATCTCGGTTGATCATTGAACACGTCAAACAACTTCAATTCGATCTGCCATACTACATGCATAATTCTCTCTACTCACTACCCTAGATACATCACACGTTACCACGAACTTCATGCTAATGATCAGTGTGATCGTTATGACGATGTGTGGTTTCTGATCGATGTGCACTGACACTGTGTTCGAGTTCCACCTGCACTGTAATGACGAGTTGGCATGTAACATAGAATGTGTGCGTGTGAGGTAGCGAGCGATAGGGCCAGCAAGCGAGTGTTTGTTTTTATGTGTGTGTCGAGAGAGAGTGTGTTTGAGCGTGCGCCTGCACGTGTGCGTGCTCGTGTGCGTACGCGTACGCATCAGACTGTTTGTGTGCAACACACACAACGATTGAATGTGGTGATGTAGGTTTGTGTTGTGGTAAGTGTTGGTGATGAGTTGCTGTTGCTGCTGCATGAGAACTATGCTAAGGGGAGATGTGTGCATAAGCGAGAGTTGAGTGTGTTATAATAGGTTGTAATTTTCCGGTTGTGTGGTATTTGTCATTATTGGCAGTTGTAGTAAAAGCAGCAGTGGCGATATGAGAAGTAGTATTAGTAGTAGCATTATTAGTAGTCGTAGCAGTATAATTGGTAGCAGTATTATTATTATTATAATTATTATTAGTGGTAATAATAAAATAATGATTATACGAGGAAGAAGAATAATGATAACAATGTTACTAGTGTTAGTGGTGCTATTTGTACATTATTTGAATTACTGTTATTAGTAGTAGTGTTTGTATGGTTGTTGCTGTTGTTTGGTTGTGTGTCCAAGTGTTCGTGAAGGTGTGTGTGAGAGTAGGATCTGTGTATGGTGTTGTGACAGAGACTGTGTGACAGTGTTGTTGTGGTTCGTAGACAGTGTGCGTGTGTCGGTGGGTGAGTGTGCGAGCGAGCGAGCTAGCTAGCTTGCTAGCCAGCCAGCCAGCCTGCGACGAACATCTGTATTGTGTAAATTGGGCCAGATACGGCCTAGAAAAATTGCATCCGACAACGATATTTCACGCCATCGGCGCGGGGTATTGGGAGTAGTTTTCAACTAGCAATAACCGCGCCTCAGATAAACTTCATTGGCTACGGTACCGCCACTGCGCAAAGTCAACCAGACAAGCCCAATCAACACGTAGCCACCACACCACTCTAACTAAATATTCACACATCCATTTGCACATCAAACACTGACACATACACAAACACCACACTGAACACCACCATTTCACAAACACACACACTCAACATCAACATACACACCAAAATCAACATTATCAACCGCATCAACACCGAACAACACTGCTCAGCAACACTTTCCATTCTGATCACATACAACCAATCATACTACTTATACACACATTCTCAGTAGCCAGTCTACTCATGACCAAATAGAACATTTCAACCAAAACAACAACAACAACAATGATTGTAATGATGATGGAGATGATGATGATGATGATGATGATGATGATGATGATGATGATGATGATGATGATGATGATGATGATGATGATGATGATGATGATGATGATGATGATGATGATGATGATGATGATGATGATGATGATGATGATGATGATGATGATGATGATGATGATGATGATGATGATGATGATGATGATGATGATGATGATGATGATGATGATGATGATGATGATGATGATGATGATGATGATGATGATGATGATGATGATGATGATGATGATGATGATGATGATGATGATGATGATGATGATGATGATGATGATGATGATGATGATGATGATGATGATGATGATGATGATGATGATGATGATGATGATGATGATGATGATGATGATGATGATGATGATGATGATGATGATGATGATGATGATGATGATGATGATGATGATGATGATGATGATGATGATGATGATGATGATGATGATGATGATGATGATGATGATGATGATGATGATGATGATGATGATGATGATGATGATGATGATGATGATGATGATGATGATGATGATGATGATGATGATGATGACGATGATGATGATGATGATGATGATGATGATGATGATGATGATGATGATGATGATGATGATGATGATGATGATGATGATGATGATGATGATGATGATGATGATGATGATGATGATGATGATGATGATGATGATGATGATGATGATGATGATGATGATGATGATGATGATGATGATGATGATGATGATGATGATGATGATGATGATGATGATGATGATGATGATGATGATGATGATGATGATGATGATGATGATGATGATGATGATGATGATGATGATGATGATGATGATGATGATGATGATGATGATGATGATGATGATGATGATGATGATGATGATGATGATGATGATGATGATGATGATGATGATGATGATGATGATGATGATGATGATGATGATGATGATGATGATGATGAGATGATGATGATGATGATGATGATGATGATGATGATGATGATGATGATGATGATGATGATGATGATGATGATGATGATGATGATGATGATGATGATGATGATGATGATGATGATGATGATGATGATGATGATGATGATGATGATGATGATGATGATGATGATGATGATGATGATGATGATGATGATGATGATGATGATGATGATGATGATGATGATGATGATGATGATGATGATGATGATGATGATGATGATGATGATGATGATGATGATGATGATGATGATGATGATGATGATGATGATGATGATGATGATGATGATGATGATGATGATGATGATGATGATGATGATGATGATGATGATGATGATGATGATGATGATGATGATGATGATGATGATGATGATGATGATGATGATGATGATGATGATGATGATGATGATGATGATGATGATGATGATGATGATGATGATGATGATGATGATGATGAAAAAAACAACAACAACATCATCTACTACTACTACTACTACTACTACTACTACTACTACTAACACATTACTAATTTAACACTGCCACAACGATACATATGTCAACTGCAATTGAATTAGCGATTGTACTCACTTAATCATCTATCTACACAAACGCACGCACGCAAACACTAATGTGAATTGCTACCATTAACACTTGACAAAACTACCTCACTGAGAATCGTCTCCTCGTTGCTCATTGTCGCTCACTGCATGACAGCGATGCGAGAACAAACACCCACACAACAAAGGAAGTCATGATCACACCACTGTGCATAATCCTATGTAGAAATATCTATCTAACTATTTACATAATTCCTATGTACACAGATAGTCATGTCTGATGAGAGAGTGAGAGGTTGAATGTGTTAGCAGCTCAATGAATAAGTATCTCGGTTGATCATTGAACACGTCAAACAACTTCAATTCGATCTGCCATACTACATGCATAATTCTCTCTACTCACTACCCTAGATACATCACACGTTACCACGAACTTCATGCTAATGATCAGTGTGATCGTTATGACGATGTGTGGTTTCTGATCGATGTGCACTGACACTGTGTTCGAGTTCCACCTGCACTGTAATGACGAGTTGGCATGTAACATAGAATGTGTGCGTGTGAGGTAGCGAGCGATAGGGCCAGCAAGCGAGTGTTTGTTTTTATGTGTGTGTCGAGAGAGAGTGTGTTTGAGCGTGCGCCTGAACGTGTGCGTGCTCGTGTGCGTACGCGTACGCATCAGACTGTTTGTGTGCAACACACACAACGATTGAATGTGGTGATGTAGGTTTGTGTTGTGGTAAGTGTTGGTGATGAGTTGCTGTTGCTGCTGCATGAGAACTATGCTAAGGGGAGATGTGTGCATAAGCGAGAGTTGAGTGTGTTATAATAGGTTGTAATTTTCCGGTTGTGTGGTATTTGTCATTATTGGCAGTTGTAGTAAAAGCAGCAGTGGCGATATGAGAAGTAGTAGTAGTAGTAGTAGTATTAGTAGTAGTAGTAGTAGCATTATTAGTAGTCGTAGCAGTATAATTGGTAGCAGTATTGTTATTATTATTATTATTATTATTAGTGGTAATAATGAAATTAATGATTATACGAGGAAGAAGAATAATGATAACAATGTTACTAGTGTTAGTGGTGCTATTTGTACATTATTTGAATTACTGTTATTAGTAGTAGTGTTTGTATGGTTGTTGCTGTTGTTTGGTTGTGTGTCCCAGTGTTCGTGAAGGTGTGTGTGAGAGTAGGATCTGTGTATGGTGTTGTGACAGAGACTGTGTGACAGTGTTGTTGTGGTTCGTAGACAGTGTGCGTGTGTCGGTGGGTGAGTGTGCGAGCGAGCGAGCTAGCTAGCCAGCCAGCCAGCCTGCGACGAACTTCTGTATTGTGTAAATTGGGCCAGATACGGCCTAGAAAAATTGCATCCGACAACGATATTTCACGCCATCGGTGCGGGGTATTGGGAGTAGTTTTCAACTAGCAATAACCGCGCCTCAGATAAACTTCATTGGCTACGGTACCGCCACTGCGCAAAGTCAACCAGACAAGCCCAATCAACACGTAGCCACCACACCACTCTAACTAAATATTCACACATCCATTTGCACATCAAACACTGACACATACACAAACACCACACTGAACACCACCATTTCACATACTCATGACCAAATAGAACATTTCAACCAAAACAACAACAACAACAATGATTGTAATTGTGATGGAGATGATGATGATGATGATGATGATGATGATGATGATGATGATGATGATGATGATGATGATGATGATGATGATGATGATGATGATGATGATGATGATGATGATGATGATGATGATGATGATGATGATGATGATGATGATGATGATGATGATGATGATGATGATGATGATGATGATGATGATGATGATGATGATGATGATGATGATGATGATGATGATGATGATGATGATGATGATGATGATGATGATGATATGATGATGATGATGATGATGATGATGATGATGATGATGATGATGATGATGATGATGATGATGATGATGATGATGATGATGATGATGATGAAAAAAACAACAACAACATCATCTACTACTACTACTACTACTACTACTTTTACTACTAACACATTACTAATTTAACACTGCCACAACGATACATATGTCAACTGCAATTGAATTAGCGATTGTACTCACTTAATCATCTATCTACACAAACGCACGCACGCGAACACTAATGTGAATTGCTACCATTAACACTTGACAAAACTACCTCACTGAGAATCGTCTCCTCGTTGCTCATTGTCGCTCACTGCATGACAGCGATGCGAGAACAAACACCCACACAACAAAGGAAGTCATGATCACACCACTGTGCATAATCCTATGTAGAAATATCTATCTAACTATTTACATAATTCCTATGTACACAGATAGTCATGTCTGATGAGAGAGTGAGAGGTTGAATGTGTTAGCAGCTCAATGAATAAGTATCTCGGTTGATCATTGAACACGTCAAACAACTTCAATTCGATCTGCCATACTACATGCATAATTCTCTCTACTCACTACCCTAGATACATCACACGTTACCACGAACTTCATGCTAATGATCAGTGTGATCGTTATGACGATGTGTGGTTTCTGATCGATGTGCACTGACACTGTGTTCGAGTTCCACCTGCACTGTAATGACGAGTTGGCATGTAACATAGAATGTGTGCGTGTGAGGTAGCGAGCGATAGGGCCAGCAAGCGAGTGTTTGTTTTTATGTGTGTGTCGAGAGAGAGTGTGTTTGAGCGTGCGCCTGCACGTGTGCGTGCTCGTGTGCGTACGCGTACGCATCAGACTGTTTGTGTGCAACACACACAACGATTGAATGTGGTGATGTAGGTTTGTGTTGTGGTAAGTGTTGGTGATGAGTTGCTGTTGCTGCTGCATGAGAACTATGCTAAGGGGAGATGTGTGCATAAGCGAGAGTTGAGTGTGTTATAATAGGTTGTAATTTTCCGGTTGTGTGGTATTTGTCATTATTGGCAGTTGTAGTAAAAGCAGCAGTGGCGATATGAGAAGTAGTAGTAGTAGTAGTAGTATTAGTAGTAGTAGTAGTAGCATTATTAGTAGTCGTAGCAGTATAATTGGTAGCAGTATTGTTATTATTATTATTATTATTATTAGTGGTAATAATGAAATTAATGATTATACGAGGAAGAAGAATAATGATAACAATGTTACTAGTGTTAGTGGTGCTATTTGTACATTATTTGAATTACTGTTATTAGTAGTAGTGTTTGTATGGTTGTTGCTGTTGTTTGGTTGTGTGTCCAAGTGTTCGTGAAGGTGTGTGTGAGAGTAGGATCTGTGTATGGTGTTGTGACAGAGACTGTGTGACAGTGTTGTTGTGGTTCGTAGACAGTGTGCGTGTGTCGGTGGGTGAGTGTGCGAGCTAGCTAGCTTGCTAGCCAGCCAGCCAGCCTGCGACGAACATCTGTATTGTGTAAATTGGGCCAGATACGGCCTAGAAAAATTGCATCCGACAACGATATTTCACGCCATCGGTGCGGGGTATTGGGAGTAGTTTTCAACTAGCAATAACCGCGCCTCAGATAAACTTCATTGGCTACGGTACCGCCACTGCGCAAAGTCAACCAGACAAGCCCAATCAACACGTAGCCACCACACCACTCTAACTAAATATTCACACATCCATTTGCACATCAAACACTGACACATACACAAACACCACACTGAACACCACCATTTCACATACTCATGACCAAATAGAACATTTCAACCAAAACAACAACAACAACAATGATTGTAATTGTGATGGAGATGATGATGATGATGATGATGATGATGATGATGATGATGATGATGATGATGATGATGATGATGATGATGATGATGATGATGATGATGATGATGATGATGATGATGATGATGATGATGATGATGATGATGATGATGATGATGATGATGATGATGATGATGATGATGATGATGATGATGATGATGATGATGATGATGATGATGATGATGATGATGATGATGATGATGATGATGATGATGATGATGATGATGATGATGATGATGATGATGATGATGATGATGATGATGATGATGAAAAAAACAACAACAACATCATCTACTACTACTACTACTACTACTACTAACACATTACTAATTTAACACTGCCACAACGATACATATGTCAACTGCAATTGAATTAGCGATTGTACTCACTCAATCATCTATCTACACAAACGCACGCACGCGAACACTAATGTGAATTGCTACCATTAACACTTGACAAAACTACCTCACTGAGAATCGTCTCCTCGTTGCTCATTGTCGCTCACTGCATGACAGCGATGCGAGAACAAACACCCACACAACAAAGGAAGTCATGATCACACCACTGTGCATAATCCTATGTAGAAATATCTATCTAACTATTTACATAATTCCTATGTACACAGATAGTCATGTCTGATGAGAGAGTGAGAGGTTGAATGTGTTAGCAGCTCAATGAATAAGTATCTCGGTTGATCATTGAACACGTCAAACAACTTCAATTCGATCTGCCATACTACATGCATAATTCTCTCTACTCACTACCCTAGATACATCACACGTTACCACGAACTTCATGCTAATGATCAGTGTGATCGTTATGACGATGTGTGGTTTCTGATCGATGTGCACTGACACTGTGTTCGAGTTCCACCTGCACTGTAATGACGAGTTGGCATGTAACATAGAATGTGTGCGTGTGAGGTAGCGAGCGATAGGGCCAGCAAGCGAGTGTTTGTTTTTATGTGTGTGTCGAGAGAGAGTGTGTTTGAGCGTGCGCCTGCACGTGTGCGTGCTCGTGTGCGTACGCGTACGCATCAGACTGTTTGTGTGCAACACACACAACGATTGAATGTGGTGATGTAGGTTTGTGTTGTGGTAAGTGTTGGTGATGAGTTGCTGTTGCTGCTGCATGAGAACTATGCTAAGGGGAGATGTGTGCATAAGCGAGAGTTGAGTGTGTTATAATAGGTTGTAATTTTCCGGTTGTGTGGTATTTGTCATTATTGGCAGTTGTAGTAAAAGCAGCAGTGGCGATATGAGAAGTAGTAGTAGTAGTAGCATTATTAGTAGTCGTAGCAGTATAATTGGTAGCAGTATTATTATTATTATTATTATTATTATTAGTGGTAATAATGAAATTAATGATTATACGAGGAAGAAGAATAATGATAACAATGTTACTAGTGTTAGTGGTGCTATTTGTACATTATTTGAATTACTGTTATTAGTAGTAGTGTTTGTATGGTTGTTGTTGTTGTTTGGTTGTGTGTCCCAGTGTTCGTGAAGGTGTGTGTGAGAGTAGGATCTGTGTATGGTGTTGTGACAGAGACTGTGTGACAGTGTTGTTGTGGTTCGTAGACAGTGTGCGTGTGTCGGTGGGTGAGTGTGCGAGCGAGCGAGCTAGCTAGCCAGCCAGCCAGCCTGCGACGAACTTCTGTATTGTGTAAATTGGGCCAGATACGGCCTAGAAAAATTGCATCCGACAACGATATTTCACGCCATCGGTGCGGGGTATTGGGAGTAGTTTTCAACTAGCAATAACCGCGCCTCAGATAAACTTCATTGGCTACGGTACCGCCACTGCGCAAAGTCAACCAGACAAGCCCAATCAACACGTAGCCACCACACCACTCTAACTAAATATTCACACATCCATTTGCACATCAAACACTGACACATACACAAACACCACACTGAACACCACCATTTCACAAACACACACACTCAACATCAACATACACACCAAAATCAACATTATCAACCGCATCAACACCGAACAACACTGCTCAGCAACACTTTCCATTCTGATCACATACAACCAATCATACTACTTATACACACATTCTCAGTAGCCAGTCTACTCATGACCAAATAGAACATTTCAACCAAAACAACAACAACAACAATGATTGTAATGATGATGGAGATGATGATGATGATGATGATGATGATGATGATGATGATGATGATGATGATGATGATGATGATGATGATGATGATGATGATGATGATGATGATGATGATGATGATGATGATGATGATGATGATGATGATGATGATGATGATGATGATGATGATGATGATGATGATGATGATGATGATGATGATGATGATGATGATGATGATGATGATGATGATGATGATGATGATGATGATGATGATGATGATGATGATGATGATGATGATGATGATGATGATGATGATGATGATGATGATGATGATGATGATGATGATGATGATGATGATGATGATGATGATGATGATGATGATGATGATGATGATGATGATGATGATGATGATGATGATGATGATGATGAAAAAAACAACAACAACATCATCTACTACTACTACTACTACTAACACATTACTAATTTAACACTGCCACAACGATACATATGTCAACTGCAATTGAATTAGCGATTGTACTCACTTAATCATCTATCTACACAAACGCACGCACGCAAACACTAATGTGAATTGCTACCATTAACACTTGACAAAACTACCTCACTGAGAATCGTCTCCTCGTTGCTCATTGTCGCTCACTGCATGACAGCGATGCGAGAACAAACACCCACACAACAAAGGAAGTCATGATCACACCACTGTGCATAATCCTATGTAGAAATATCTATCTAACTATTTACATAATTCCTATGTACACAGATAGTCATGTCTGATGAGAGAGTGAGAGGTTGAATGTGTTAGCAGCTCAATGAATAAGTATCTCGGTTGATCATTGAACACGTCAAACAACTTCAATTCGATCTGCCATACTACATGCATAATTCTCTCTACTCACTACCCTAGATACATCACACGTTACCACGAACTTCATGCTAATGATCAGTGTGATCGTTATGACGATGTGTGGTTTCTGATCGATGTGCACTGACACTGTGTTCGAGTTCCACCTGCACTGTAATGACGAGTTGGCATGTAACATAGAATGTGTGCGTGTGAGGTAGCGAGCGATAGGGCCAGCAAGCGAGTGTTTGTTTTTATGTGTGTGTCGAGAGAGAGTGTGTTTGAGCGTGCGCCTGCACGTGTGCGTGCTCGTGTGCGTACGCGTACGCATCAGACTGTTTGTGTGCAACACACACAACGATTGAATGTGGTGATGTAGGTTTGTGTTGTGGTAAGTGTTGGTGATGAGTTGCTGTTGCTGCTGCATGAGAACTATGCTAAGGGGAGATGTGTGCATAAGCGAGAGTTGAGTGTGTTATAATAGGTTGTAATTTTCCGGTTGTGTGGTATTTGTCATTATTGGCAGTTGTAGTAAAAGCAGCAGTGGCGATATGAGAAGTAGTAGTAGTAGTAGCATTATTAGTAGTCGTAGCAGTATAATTGGTAGCAGTATTATTATTATTATTATTATTATTATTAGTGGTAATAATGAAATTAATGATTATACGAGGAAGAAGAATAATGATAACAATGTTACTAGTGTTAGTGGTGCTATTTGTAGATTATTTGAATTACTGTTATTAGTAGTAGTGTTTGTATGGTTGTTGCTGTTGTTTGGTTGTGTGTCCCAGTGTTCGTGAAGGTGTGTGTGAGAGTAGGATCTGTGTATGGTGTTGTGACAGAGACTGTGTGACAGTGTTGTTGTGGTTCGTAGACAGTGTGCGTGTGTCGGTGGGTGAGTGTGCGAGCGAGCGAGCTAGCTAGCCAGCCAGCCAGCCTGCGACGAACTTCTGTATTGTGTAAATTGGGCCAGATACGGCCTAGAAAAATTGCATCCGACAACGATATTTCACGCCATCGGTGCGGGGTATTGGGAGTAGTTTTCAACTAGCAATAACCGCGCCTCAGATAAACTTCATTGGCTACGGTACCGCCACTGCGCAAAGTCAACCAGACAAGCCCAATCAACACGTAGCCACCACACCACTCTAACTAAATATTCACACATCCATTTGCACATCAAATTATACACGCATTCTCATCAGCAATTCAACTGATGAGCGAATGTATTATGTTCACACTATCTGCTCCTATAACTCCTTAAACATTACTAATACTTTACTGGTTTATCGATGCATGCATCTTGATGCCTTAGAAATCCACAAATTTTTTACGTTAATTTCTGGAGGTGTTCGTTACTCGGAAAGCAATTTATTTTGTAATGTTCTCGTTATCCTTATTGTGACTATGATATTGTGCTTTCACATTTCGTTAACCTGCTCTTTTGTCTTTAATTTCTTATTCTACTCAAATAGTCTCCATTTTGCGTGTACCATGTTTTTTGTAGAGTATTTGTGTGGAAACTTTTTGCATTCTGCTTAGTACTCAATGTATGTTTGTGTTAATATTACAGACTGCAATATTAACATTGTAACTTGATAACTTCAGTTGTAGCCTCACAGACTGTTAAATTATGTGATGCGTCTTCTTGTAGCACAGGGAAAATGACTTCATTATGAATGATGCAAATTCCTTGTTGATGAGCAATGTGTTCTGTCGACCAGTTCCAAATACCTAAAATGGTGAGATTCGACTCAGACAGATTACTGGTCATTTGTGCAACGACAATGATAACGTTATCTTAACCAGGTCTACATGTCTTATGAAGATGAGTGTGAATGTTAGTCGATGGAAAAGTGATTGGAGAATGTTGACTGCTGCAACGTTTCTTTCTCTTTGACAGTCTGTGTGTACCTTGACAACGGGTAAAAGCAGATAGTTCACAAGGAACATGATCGTATTCAACGTCGTTAGAAAGAGATTGTAAGGGCGACAACTACCGATTTCATATCATTGTCAATAATTTCACGTTAATTAAACAATCCTGATTGATACAAAAGACGTATGGAGTTCGAGAACAACAGCAATATAGTATTCGTGAGCGCACACCGTTTTATCAAGTTTAACGACTAATGTATAATGTGTTGGTTTTCATTATGCATATTCACATTATCTAATAAATTCATTATTGAGTTGTAATATTTTAGGACATTTTGCAAAATTCAAATTTTCTTATTTCAGCCCGGTTTTATAAAGAAATAAACTTGAGTCTTTATATTGAATGTATTAGTATATATTAGATTGAATTAACTGAGAAGTGAACAATTATTGTCGTTGAATAAGAAAAAAAAATCGAAAGATAGTTTATTTAAAATAAATGATTTCCTAATGTGTTGAAAAGATTATTTTGCAAATTGGAATAAAAGTTAAAGAATAGATAATACATGAAGTGATTTACCAATATTTATTTCAATATAGAATATAAGATGATGGCTGTTGAAAAGTGTCATCATTAAGGATATATAATAAAGAAATAGATTAAGCTATATAAACATGTAAAGTTATCTCGGAGTATAATGAGAATAATTCTGATATTGATAACTTATATTATAATACAATGATAAATTCGTCAAAATGATCAATCTGATCTATAGAAGCTGATAATTACGACAAAACTATTTCATTATACAATCTAATGAAGAATATTTGGTTAGAATACAGTATTTGTTAACATGAACAGATTCCAGTAGATGTTGTTTCCATATATAGTTAAGTTTCTGAAATTCGAATTAAAAAGGCAGTTAGTTAATTAGTCAGTGAGATTGATGGGATGTGCAATCAAAATAATCATCTTATGAACTGAAACAATAAGCAGCATTAACTTGGATATAGATAAAAATGTTTTAGAAATGAAAGGAAATATAAAATTCATAAACTTGTTCAGAAAAATGACACATTATAGTAATAAGAATCGTATTTTAAGCATAGTTCTACTAAATGAATCTATTAAGTTTTAAAAACAATTGTAACTCAAGTTATAGGAATAGTATTAGTTGAGAGACTTAATATGTAACTGGATATACTTGTTATGTTATACGGTTATGTTTTAAGAAAACGAATGTAAATTTTGAGTGAGAATGCAAACAAATTCTTCTTGTTGTCTAGCAGAAGGTGGAACCAACTAGTACTCCTGAGTCGTTTTGATTTGGTAATAGATATCCATTGCACCGATGACAACATTTTGGACCATTCCAAAGTTTTCAATGAAAAAAGCGGATGTATATATATCATCGTTTTGAAAATAAGTAGTTCAGACAAAATTACTAGTGCAGTGTTATGTGCTGAATTGATTCAGTTAATTCTGATGGATGATTACAAATAAGGAGGCAGACAGGTTTTTCAAAAGACGGAGGTCACAATTTGAGAGAAACAAGACAAGTCACATACTTATTATAATATACTGTCCTAAGGTTGAAAGGTAGTTGAAAGATAATTGAAAAAGAAACGGCTATTAGACGAAGGTGATTATATCTTTTCGATAATGCAATGAGAAGACGAAGTTTATCAGAATTCTCATTGCATTATCGAAACTTATCAAAGGGACTAATTGTTTTAAATTATATCTTTTGTCAAAGTTTGGACACATTTGCGTACATTATCATTCGATTCGCTAATACAGCTTGCCAGTCACCTTTAGTCTCCTCACTTACATAGCAAAGATTGGATTCATCAAGTACATGAAGCAAGTACATCAGGATTTGACCATAGCACAACGTAACACAACTGAGTTAACTGGGACTCGCTCTTACTGAACATCTCTAATCAGTCACAAGATTATAAATTGATTTAGAGGAGAGCAAAAGTAAAATGATTTAAAAAATGTTAAATCTGAACCATCACAATTTACATTTATTGACTGGGATAAATTGCGTACAAGTATTTTTGAAATTGTTATGTACTAGCGAAGACATAAGTACGGGTAACTTGCAGGACCTACTATTGAACTATTATTCTTATTGTATAACTATTCATTAACTAGATTATCTAAATCTATATTCATCTTATTACAGACTTCATTTTGACCTATTGATTATTGTTATATGATTTACTGTTCCTAAGTTATACTCAGTTAATTGATTATTGTCTCCCACGCTTACAGCCTCATTTGGCTTGGTTTTGCACAAATATTATTTTCTATTTTATGGTGTGATGTGGCCTGTCTGTCTGCTATATAAACAAAGAATGCTTGAAATAAACGATTCATGTTGCCGAGGCTGCTATTGGTGTTCTGGACTCAAGTGGACGGGCTAGGCGGATAAGAGTCAATAAGGACGCTAGATTACTCATACTAACCGAACGTCATTGTCACAAAGTGAAGGTCGTAGAAGTCGTATTCTATTGGTGGACAGTTCACGCAAGTTACGTCCTTGTTTGATTCGTAAGGTCATAACAACTTAGCAACGACCTTGATCAAGACATAACGATTGGCGACGGCTTGGTCAAGACATAACAGAAATATATCAGATGGGGGTTTTGTAGAGAATTTGGTATTTTCACTGTTGAAATCATGAGTCAATTGAAGCTAGACAACCATCGAAATCCTGGAAGCACTGGACGGCCGTTTCGTCCCATTATGGGACTCCTCAGCATTGCGTATCCACGATCCTGCACTCGCGAGATTCCAAACCAGGACCTACCAGTCTCAAGCCAGAGCCTTTAACCGATAGACCACTGAGCCGGCATCCAACGGTGTTAATGTCTAACTTCAACCAATCCACGATTTTGAGCGACCGTTCACCAATTGTCTTCAGTAAGTTGATATATCTACAACAGACTTGATAGAACTCCATGGGCCACTGTTTCCCACTAGAACTACAGGAAATATCTCTTGAAGTCAGTCACTAGTGAGCATATGATTATAGATCAGAGGGGGTTTTGTGGAGAATCTAGTATTTTCACTGTTGAAATCATGAGTCAATTAAAGCTAGACCACCAGTTAAGGGCTCTGGCCCGAGACTAGTAGGTCCTGTGTTCGACTGACTTCAAGAGATATTTCCTTTAGTTCTAGTGGGAAACAGTGGCCCATGGAGTTCTATCAAGTCTGTTGTAGATATATCAACTTACTGAAGACAATTGGTGAACGGTCGCTCAAAATCGTGGATTGGTTGAAGTTAGACATTAACACCGTTGGATGCCGGCTCAGTGGTCTATCGGTTAAAGGCTCTGGCTTGAGACTGGTAGGTCCTGGTTTGGAATCTCGCGAGTGCAGGATCGTGGATACGCAATGCTGAGGAGTCCCATAATGGGACGAAACGGCCGTCCAGTGCTTCCAGGATTTCGATGGTTGTCTAGCTTCAATTGACTCATGATTTTTGAAATACCATATTAACTTAACCAATCAACACACATGTGTAATAGTAGAGAATAGGTTTAAAGGTTTTTGGAAAGTATCAGTCAGTCAGTCACAACGTAGAACTTCGTACGTACGTACGTACGTACGTACGTATATTTATCAGGAATACATGTCAATGACTTACTTGAGTTACGACTATTGTTCAACATATATCGTGACCAAATATTATATCGCTTTATAGCACTAGACAAAATATTCCGTGGAAATCGCTTTCGATGATTTGAGAAATCGGATGTAACAGGGGATATGTTAGTGACAGTTGAATCAACAACACAAGTCGATTTCTTCTAAAATACAACAAGTATTTCAAGAACTTTAATAATACGTAAGAGAACACATAATATAAGTAGAAATAATCCGAATTAAGGAATTATTTTGAATGAACTTGAAAGTTAAAGTGAATAAACAGAATACATTATTTTTAAAAAATAACTACCGGCATTAATGTTTTGTATTTAAGCAAAACAACGACGATGTAGTGTTTTTTTCTTTTTTTTTAAAAAAACCATTACTTGAGCTTATTTTGAATTTTTCGATCAAATCTAGCATAATCTGAATCAGGTTAGTCTTTGAAAAAGTCAAAGAACGACAACAAATTGCATATAGTGCTAAGTTATCGTTTTCTTCTGCCCCCAAATGCTTGGTACGGCCGAGAGTGGAGAGAGTCCGCTCTCCCTCTCGAAATACTCTCATATGGCCACGCGAATATATAGCCTCTGCCAGGAAAGTGCTACTCACTGCCTTCTCGTGGCAGATGTGTTGTTTACGAAATTGAGAGGACGAAAAGCGAATGTCCTGCGCTTTAACTGAGTTGGTGGACACAGCGAATCTACCTAAGGAAGTTGGAAAACTCTGATTCCAAACCAATGGTGTATATGGGCTCCAGTATCCTGAGGGAACAAATGGCGTATGAACCAATCGCTGGTCACCGGCTACCATGGGACTGCATCTCCTCACGATGCTCCACTACCTTGTGGGTTAGACCTTTAGGTCAAAAGCTCGGGGTGTGGCCCCCTAAGAAAACCACCTGCTTCGGTTTGGGCACCCGGACAGTATCACAGCCCTCACACAAAATGTGTGTCGCATATGTATCTGGTGCCCCTTTGTACTAATATGTATGTGTTTTTGAATAAATAAAATAAAATCGATTTCTTCTCAAATGAACATTTTATTAACCTTGGAAACCATTATTTTATTTTTTAAAGACTGAGTCAGTTCACTTGAGACTGAAGGTTTTAACCAAATAAAAATGGGAGAATAACCTTTCTAGCATATTGTAGAAAAGCTGTTTCAAAGAAGCCTTAATTTATTATAAATAACATAATATGCGCGTTAGATAAAAATTAAACAAATGAATAAGACCTATTAATGTACGATTGGAGGAACCACATCTGCGTATTGGCTGAGAACAGTTCCCAAGTAAATGAACTTAAAGAGATGGATGAACACCGATTTACGCTCCGATAAAAGTACAGAAGACTTTTGGTATCCTTTCAAGAGTAAATTATAGCATCAGAAGCTACAACTTAAATTGGGCGTCTACATCACTTATGAACTAAACGGTTTTTTTTCAACACACTAACTTACAAAGGTATAGAAGGACAATTAAAAATATTCAAAAAATCCTACTTTTTGGTTCAACTGAGAAACTGGGAGAGATTCGCACGGAAATTCTGTGGGCGTCAAAGGTCCAAGAAACGTAGAAGATTCGAGAGGAAAAATGTTTGGAGCATACTGCAAACCAGAGGCTGAAACATTTGGTACTCTCGAGAATCTATTGAAATTTACCGCGGTAAATGGGTGCTGTCTACATGTAGACCAAGAACATAATGAGGTGGAACAATTGTTGGAATAAGAGGAGCATAAAATGGAAGGTATTGCTTGAGTAGGCATCCAACAAAAAGGAACAGACGAGAAATTTGAATCTGAATGAGTTGATATTGAGATTGAAATCTCGTTCGAAGGCAGAGCTGGTAAATTTGTAAGTCTCCGATTAAACTGCAAGCTAGTTCTTCCAAAAGTATCAGCAGAAACTTTATACTGCGAAAGGATACTTGATAATGGATTCAAACGCGAAGTCGAATGATGCATTTCGCTTGTATTATTTAAAACAGGGGAGCCTGAATTTTAGTAGGGACAAAAGAAAGAAACAATCACGTTTGACGAGCTTTTAACTGATTAGTTTAAAATAAAAAAGCGTTAAGGTGACCAATTACCATTTAATTGGCATTGCTTTTGTTCTTAACTGTAAAAATTACATATTATTATAAAGCCTTAATAAGGAACTAAGTGAAGAGAAATATCGTAATTAAAATACTATTTTCGAAACCTCTGAGACATGATATCATACTGAAGTACTAGTAACACGAAGGAAGTGGGATACAGGACTAGTGCAAGCTTTGAAAGAAAGCCGTGTGAAATAACTGGCGTTTGTGTCAGATGCAATCAAGCATAAAGTATCGATTACTTAATTAATGATGCAAACAGCGGAGCTTAATTATTTACTTATTCCACCAGTAAAGTATAAAAACAGATCAAAGGGATATCAATCCCAATAACGATATCTTTGTGAGTATATATCAGCTGCTAAATATCAAAGCATAGCGTTTCCCAAACTAAGGCATGTAGTTAATTCGAGAAAAGAACCCAGCTCAAAAAGTCTTAAGAAAATGAGTCGAGACAACAATAAAATGTAGGTATGAACAATGATATGAGTTGTCCTGAGTCCAAACATCAATATCCGTAATTTTATAGTTCTTATAATAACATTGTAAACAAAGTTTAATGAAGAGATCTCTTTCCAACGAATCTGCTGCCAAGATATATAGTCATATGCATGAAAACTTTAAGATTTTAATTCTGTAAAGAAAGATTCTAAAAGAAGTATTAAAATCAATATGATTTGCTTTTTTAATGCCGAGAATCAGTTAGTGTTATAGAAAAAAAGTTTAATACACTCATACACACAGACTGGACAACAGAAAAATGAGTTATGGTTTAGAAAACTTACCATTTACATGGGTATTATCACAGATGTTGGAGGTGTAAGGAGAATATGAAAGATTTGGATACAAAGTTAAATTATTGAGTTGCTGTACAGAATCTGTTAATTCATAATGGTCTACATGTGAGGATAGTTTGGTAGGAATAAAACCTGATGAAGAACAATAAGGGAGTGTTTTGTAAACAAATGCATCGTTAACTTCAGCATAAACGGTTGAACCATTATCTAATGTTTGGTGATCGTTAATATGGGACAGTTCATTTTTAGAACACAGGTCAGTTATCGATTGATCGACAGCTGTGGTTGTTGGTAATAAATTTTGTTCGTTGGATAACAACGGAGACGGTGAGTGAGAATGGGCGGAATCAGTATGTGGATGAGGTCTTTTAGGTCTATTAGGATGGGGGCGACGTGATTCTAATTCTAAATTCTGCATAAATAAAGTAAAGGGAAATCGTTAGGTTACATGTAAGCATATGTATATTTTCACGCACAGAATAGAACTTCATTACAACAAACACATCCAAGCTTGGAAAGAAACTCTACTTTTTTGAACAAGACAAGCAAACAAAAAAGGTTATGGAAGACAACAACAAGCGGCAAAGAAACACGATGATTATCCAATTACTAACTTAATACATAAAAACAACAAATGAAAAGTAAATGCTAACTTAAAATTATCATTTTCATCATTGAAAATAATTTAGTGGAATTTTTAGTATCTGAAAACAAAAGAAAGCACAAACAGTAAAAAGCATAGTTAAATTATCACTGAAAACAACGAATAATCTACACTTATTGAATTTTATTTCTACTTCCAGTTTCAAATCACGAACCCATCTTAACTAGATCAACATAGAAAACCTGTAAGCACTGGATGGTTGTCTCGTTCTAATACGGGAGTTCTTAACAGTGCTTATTAGCGACCCTGTACCTTGGGAATCAAACTTAGGACACTCGGTATTGTATCCAAACACTTCATACCATTGAGCAGGGATCAAATAATGTACATGTATAACTTCAACCAATTCATAATGTCACGTAACTCTCATTGGCTGTCCAGGTAGGATAACTTTCACATCCGACATCGTTAAACTCCATTGATTAAGGCCTCTTAATAACTCATACCAGTCCGTGGTTTAAAAAAAAATGAAAATTTTACTATCTCCACAAATCCTTCCATAACTTGTTTATATAGTGGACAAGTAACCATATTTTGACAGTGGAAACTAATAGACAAAAATCTAGACTCCTATTATCTGATTGTCTGTCAATAACAATTAAGAAACTGAATAAAGATTATGGATTTTAATTGATGATAAATGATATATTTAGAAAACGCATAGATACTTGTTGTTGCTATTCGGTTCAGTTATTAGACAATTATACTAAGTTTAATAAAAATAATCGTGGACATTTAAGGGTTATATTTATCGTCTGATACATGTACACAAAAAAAGTAAATTGTCAGGAAGGGAGAAAATATACTTACAACTGATTGAGTTACTTTGGGAAGTTCAGCGTAATACTCTTCTACAGAAGAATTAATACTGGGTAAAGGGACAGATGTGGGACATGACTGTGGACATAATGAACAAAATACATCAGCCTGAGACACTTGACACATTTGTTCACATAATGTAGATGGTAGGATACCACACTCTGTAGAACTGAGCTTTCCAAGAGAAATATTAAACAGAAAATTAAAAAAGTGGTAATCCAGTTAAGAAAGATCTATATATAACTTTGCAGTGGTAATGTAGTATACTTGAACAAATGTCATTTAAACTACATCAACAATGAAGAATATTTAAGCAAGCACCCAAAAACTTTCAGACGATAATAAGTATGGGTTATATGGAATGGAATATCAGCTTGTGTAATGAATATGACACAGAGGATGACACAAAGGATGAAAAATATACGAATTATAAAAAGTTTTAAAGTTATGCAAATATTTTCTAATGACTGTGTACAATGAATTATACCAAAAACCATACGTGAATTAACATCATCTTTTTGTGTGCTATCTCAAATAAACAAACATGGAATCTATGAAATCTAAAACTAATGACTGAATTCGTGAAATAGCAATTAGATTGACAAACAAAAATGTACATCACACAGATTCGATATAATCTAAGTAATATCGATCCTACTTTAGGAAGTTTTTTACGCTGAAATGTACGCGTTTTCAACAAGGTAAAAATGAAGGAGAGTGTTTAAAATTTTAATTTAGTTGTAGTCGGTCAGTCAAACATAACTTAGAACTAGGGACATGTGAGAATCTGTTCAAGTTGTCACATCCCATTGGTAAAGCGAGAAGAAATTTACAAAAGAAATCGTAAAGTAGTAGAGGTTATAGCATTATTAGTGGTAATACGAACGATTAGGCACAGATGCAATTCGAGAAAAAAAATATGGGTTAACTGAATAAAAGATTTTTTAAAAGGTAATTTACATCTGTTAAATGCTGGCTTGTACTTTGTACGTGAGAAGTAAAGGAAGACACGGAATGAATGAACTTGTGGCATTGTGAATCATTTTGAGCTAGGTCACCCAAAGTCTATCAATCGGTTGCAATCCAGTAAGTCACAACGTAGAACTTTGTACGTACGTACATCAGTTCGAGTTGCCATACTACATTAGCACAGAGATTCAGTTGTCGATTCAAATCCCAAATTTACCATTACTGCTACCTTGACGTGGTGGTCGGGCTTGCTTATCGTGATGAACTAATCGAGCTATGCTGGCTGGAACAATCGTTCCTCAACGTCCTACTATGCCAGACAGGTCGGTTGAAGAGCGGTGAGACTAAAAGCAGCAATCCCAAGGTCCGAAGGCGAAGTCGTACTGCCGACTGTACAGAGGTGTGACGGCAGTAAGGTATTTCCTTCAAACAACCAGCATAACAGCGATGCTGCCTTCCCACAAGGAGGGGTGGGGTTAGAAAAAGTCGACCCTAAAAATGCACACCGCCTTATCCCACGGATTTCCGTCTCCGGCGGTAAGGTCCTTTGAAGAACGAAGCTAACACGTCAAAAATCCCCCACAAAAAGGCCGTGCGTGACCGGCCTCAAGCAGTTGTCCCTTGGGCACTGCGGTCACGCTCCCAGGTCGTTAAGACCAACACTAATTCAACTTCCTTTTCAGGTCCCTCATAAAATACCCTTCCACGACGTAGGCAGCCAGGAAGTGATATTAGCCCTCATACCCGTAACCGCACACGAAACCAAGTTGGTCACATTCAAATCCTTCCTACATCTGCTAATCGGTTGCAATAATTGCACAAGGCCTAACCAGGTAGTCTGTGCCTATCAATGCAACTTATTCATGGACGAATAGCACGTCTTGATTTGGCCGGCCCCAACTTTCTTCCAACCCACGCCTACCCCAGCGATTATCGCGAGTCGAGGTGGGTAATACATGTTATAACCATCTCAGAGGATAATTGTTCTTAAACAATAATTGACAATAACCTGTTGATAGAGTAGCTTCAAACAGAACTATTATGCATTGAACAAAGATTGCTTAACTGTTCTTAAAGTAATTCTAATATTTACTAAGACGTATACTCAAATTCACGCAGTATTACGTAAACTTCACATGCACCATCACGAACAGCGGATTTAGGCCTAGACAGATAATCAGTGTTTGAATCACACTTACGAATTTGATTGTGCTGTTCACGATACTATCATTAAAGAACAAAGTTACTTTGAAGGCAGACTTAGTGGGTGACATAGAAATGGCATTTCTAATGATGAGAGAAAGACAAAAATAGTAGGATTCAGATTAAATAAATATCGGTGAGACCTAGAGAAATTCAAATCAATACGATTATGAGCGAATAAAAAACGACGAAAATAATAATACCGACAGCATTGAAAAACAAAAAACGTATATCCAAAAATAGCAAATGGCAATAAGATATAATACAATCAACAAGAACTGCAGGATGGTACAAAAATAGGTCTATTTTGCGATTTCTGACTTTTGGTCAATTCACGTCTCACATTATAGATTTACAGTTCTCAGGAACTAGGTCTATGATTATTTGAGATTTGATGTAGGTTAGTAGTCAAGTTCAATGTTATGTACTTTATATTTTGAAGTGTTGGTGATAACTAGATGGTTTCCAAAACTGAAGTAGCAGGTATGTGACGTCCGAATCTGTAGACCAATGATCGAAAGCTAAGTATTTAAACCATTATTTTAGAGTTGAAAGTCATTGTTTTTTAATCTTAGCTGCTATTTCAACAATCGATTCGAACAAACATTCAAATTTTACCTCTGTAGTTGATGTTAAATTTTTACAAATCATATATACAAGAAGATTAATGCTCTGGAAAACTAAGCCTTTCAGGGTTGATCTTGGTATCACTTACCACCAAAGTTCTTTGTCAGATCACTTTTGAGCGGTAAGTATGTATGTTACAATTACCATGGCGTTCTGTTTAACATCGGTCTATATTTGACGATTCACGCTTTTACAACATCATTTTACAGTGATTTGACAGTACCTGACCTTTTTCATGATGTGTCAGTAAGTTGTGAACCTGTTTAGTATACCTGTCCATCAACAATGATTTAACTTGACTATGTGACAGTACAGAAAATAACAAAGCTTGCCACAAGTGTATAAAAATTTTACAATAATTTCTCTAGATAGTAACTGACAGAATGAAATTCACTAGTTGTCAAATAATATCAAGTAATAAGATAAAATGATCTCAAGACAAGTAAGTAATACGATACCATACAACATATAAACAGACTTTGTGCACAAAAATATTATATTGTGAAGTTCTTAAATTCTATTGAATTGAAATCGTCAACAACAACAAAATTACAAAAACATTTAAATGGATGATTAAAAATACAAAAAGGAGAAGTAAGACAATAGGATTTATTATCACAGTTTATTGGAGGATAAACAGGCAATCTAATAATAGTAAATGGATACATTTAGGTTAACTTACTATATTCGATCGAGACAATTGCATATGGTTGTCAAGTTTCCGAATAATATTTGCATGAGTAGTAGTTGGAAGTGACCTCGAACTTTGGAAACTAAATGCATCGGTTGGACTAACAGGAAGCCAAGGAAGTGCAATCACATCGTTTCGTGGATTATGGAGAATTGATGAACAGACAGAGTTTACATTTTGAGAATAAAGTGCAACTTGTGGTTTCTCGGTGTGACATTTTGAGGATGTTGAAAATTTTGATGTATAAGTATTTGAGAAATTATTATTATCATTATTGTTGGCAATGATGTTAGGACAAACTGAGTTATCAGAAAGATTTTTAGTCATTTCGAAACTAGAATACCAACCGCTGAATTCTCCTTCAAAAACGCGTTTGTACAGTTCTTTGAAAGAGTAGACAAAAAAAGAAAACAGACTCAATGCAAATAACGCAAAATCAACAGCTTTTTCGAAATATATAAAACCAGTACATACAAGATCCAGCAGACTCATTTAGATCTTAATATGTACAAGAGGAATGCTAGTTCTGAGTTGCCAGTGTTAGGTGTTAGAACAAAAGAAACTAAAACGGACGTTCAGAATGACAGTTTATATATATATATTAGACCACTATTGAAAACTTGGAAGCACTGGACGGCCGTTTCGTTCTAATATGGGACTCCCCTGCAGTGCGTACACGCGTGCGGAGCTGTGGATGCGCACTGCTGAGTTCTACACTAGGACGAAACGACCTTCCAGTGTTTCCAAGTTTTTAATGGTCGTCTAACATTGGTCGATTCATGACCTCAACTAAAAAATCAACGAATGCAACCGAGCATGTCCCGAAACACATTAGTCAGTTCGAACTTCCCAGTGTTACTTAGTATATAACAGTGAAAGCACTGTCAATCACTTCCAAAACTTTGATAGTATAGTGAAATGGTGAGATTCGACTGATTGAACATGCATGTACTAGGAAGTAAGGTTTTTAAAAATCAACGAGTGTAGGATCCTAGTAATTGTTAGGATTAGTACATTCATCTTAAAATTGTAAAGAAAACTTATATTATTGAATATAGTTTAGATGTTTATTTGAGGGTGAATGGTGATTACAATTCTGTCTGATTTGTTTACAGAGAATCCATGAGCATATACGTTAAACAAAAATATTTATTTGATTACCGCTATAAAAATATTCAAACGTTCATAAAGACAAAAGAATGACGGAAAACGCACCAGCTCTTACATCATCCGACCGAGACACTGACAAAAAACCCAATGAAAATTTTGCACTATCTTTTATAGACTGAATATTTTCGCACATGTTGAGATGAAAAAAATTATTTATGTGGTCACTTTCACATTCTGTAGACACACCAGAAGAGATTGAATTTTTTCTAAATTGGACTTTCACTGGTTCGTATTCTGATGATGATAAAAGAAGTGGGCAACTATAGTCTTGTGCTAAGCGTTGAATAAGTTTTAACCCATGAACAATGCCTTCAGCTTCTACAGGGATTTGTTGAGAAGATCCTGAGTGAAACGCGACAAGTAAAATCACTGGAATGAATTTGTATTCACTAAAAGTATTTAAATTAAATGCAGAGCAAAGTTTACTGAGTGAATTTTCAATATCGATTCCAACTTCAGACCAGGAAGATGAAGAATAGTGGATAAGTAGGGCACGAGGACTATAAGCCGTTGAGAACGTAGGAGACTGGCATAAAACGGATTCAATAACCTAGGAATGTAATAATATATATAACTAAATACAATGTAACAAATATTAACCAAAATAGGTGTAGTAACCTAAAATATTCTGTGACGTAGGATAGAATACTAACCATATTGCTTTTATTATATACAGGCTGTGAACTAAACATTTATTTAAACAGTTAACATAGAGTAGAATTCACTTGGTATTGTTTGCCTGAATCTTCCCATTGATGTTTGGGACTCTAATTCGTCAGTCTCTTATTGGTATATGTGCATACTGTGCATATTGCCTCGATATCGCCTTAAGTCACAAGCATTATAGGCAGAGATGGATGGTGGTTAGCAGTGGAATCCATAGAGATTGGTAGGTAACGCATCAATAAAGTGAATCAGAGACAAAAAGACGTCACTGAAGTTAAATTTAGAAATCAGTTAGAATACCCTGCACTGAACAATGAAATAAATAACAAAAGACATATAGGGAGAAATGTCGTATTCGTAGTGACACAGAACGGCATAATTATTATTTCAATAACCATATGAGGTTGGTGCATTCCATATGGCTGAGATATCAAAAGTACTACCATAAAAATACGCTTTATAAGGAACCAATGTGGGTAGGCGACTAATTCATTTATTTAATATAGATATTTTCAAATAAGTATTTGGGAATATAGAAAACATGGGTCTACTCCAATATATCAACATTCATGACTAAAGATACCACACAAACTGAATTCAGATAAATTTTTTAACACAGAGCTTAAGTAACGTATTCCAGAATTCATGAAGTATTCTTAGTGAATAAAACAATAGGGGTAATTTCTTTAACTTTTCTCGTATATATTTATATGAGAGAGTATTTGTTTACAAAACTATGGTATGAACTCTATTGAATAAAAAAACGATGGCTAAATAATGTCTCTGTATATACTGACATGTACAAGATCAATCCCTATACAACAAAAATATATCAATAGGCTAGCGATAAATTATCTTACCTCGTCCAATTGTACAAACTGCACGTAAAGGCATGAGGAATTCTTACTTTTACAATACGATTGCGGATCTTCGCAATTAATTGTTGAAGGTACAAAGAATAACTTGCGGTTTGTACTATGTAAATCAGTACAACCGGACACTACATTACAGTTTGACAGAATTAAAGCTGTTAATAATCCGATAAACTGGAATTTATCTTCTGTAATTAGCTTATCCATAAAGTTTTCTGATAAACAAATGAATTCTGTAAGAATGGATAAATAATCAAGACTTATGAAACTTCTCCAGTCAATAAAAGAATTATTAGAATTGGAAGTATATGTTGTTTGGTCTTTTCCTATTTGGGTATTAGTTGTTAAGTGGATGAGATTATCCAGAAACATTGCCAGTGATTCAGAATTTACAGCTAAGTAAGGTATTCTAAAACTAGAGGAAAATAAAGGACGAAATATAGATAATAACAACTTGTAACACTAAATCCGATGATCTTTTTAAACAATTTAAGCTGGATCAAACATTGAGTGGTTTTTATTATGTAGCCGTAGAATATCATGAAACTCAATGACTATGTACATTTCTGTACACTAGGTTATGAACCCCACTTAATGTCCAAAGGTTATTCAGTTTTGATTAGTAACACTCAATATTGTTTATCACCGAAGTACATATCGAAGTACACCGCTAGACCGAGGGATCTTTATTTTATAACTTGTGGTCGAGGAAAACTATCAACTACTGTTATTGATGCCTTGATAAAATGTTCTTATTAAGACTACTTCGTTAACCAGAAAACTCGTTTTTAAGGTCTTACGGTTCCAGACAAGTTATTTAAAGTAATAAGACCGACAGCAACGAACTCGACAAGGAAGTTACCCTCTTGAAAATACCAAACTGTCGCTAAGGAATATAGTTTTCCACCGATAACCATTATTTTCAATTATGCTACTTTATCACAAGTGCTAGAAGACGTCTGTCTTAAAAACATCACGAACCGACTGAAATAGATTTTCGGTGTTGGAAAGTGAGGTTTGAAAAAGAAAGAGGATACGATAAAACAAAAAGTGAATAATTACATATAGGGAGGGTTTGATTAGCTTAAATAGTTAGGCTCCCGAGTCTATGGGATACCTAACACTCATCCGACCACTTTAGGAGGTCGTTCTAGAATAAATATTTTCCTGTGATGTAAACAAGGGAGAAGCTTTAACCGCTTGCATACATAAGAAATATTTCAGATCACCCAGGACACTACAAATCTTCGTTACTCAACTTTGCTAACAACCCTTCTTCACCAGCTTTATCCCCAAAATGTGCAACTAATGTTAACTACTCGAGTTTAAAAAATAACTTTCCTGATTACAGGAAACTATACTCTACACAACACAATGAACCTCCCAATTTCTCGCGTTGTGTACGATGGCAAAAAAGGATTTACTAGTCAAAACTCTAGAATCTTGTATCGTGAATGAATATGGCTTATGGAATCCAGACATTGTTATTCACTTTGACGTAAGGAATATTCTTACAGGCGTAGGTACAGCATTGAGTCAAAAACGTCGTGCACTGATGAAGTAGACTGAAGTTGACAGTCGTTTGTATGTTATGTGAGTGGTAGTGTACGAAATGGGAAGAAATAGAATACACTGTACCGTAAGTTTGTAGTTTCACTGACACCATTCCAGAAGAAATAAAGACGAATTCTACTGAAAGCAACCTAGTCTTTCCTGAAATTTGAGATGACTAGCTATTGTAACTTTTAGATGGGGCTTTTTACAGTCCATTGCACTGAAAACGATAGTAACGATTTGATGAAACAAAAACTTTGGGTTACATGAATTAATACACGAGGACATTGTCTACTGTTATTATCAGTTTTAAGGTACAAAATGTCGATATCTGAACATTTAAAAATGTTACATTGATTGCATATTGCGCACAATTAATATAAAAGACGAACATCACTAGAGAAAAAGAATTAACGAATAATTTAATATAATTATGATAATTATATACGATATAAAAAGTGATTATTTTACCGGGATGAAACTACCAGTCCAGAGAGGATTACATTTTTTTCTTCAAGAGTGTTACAATTACTGCAGCATAAATAAGCCAAAACTTTTATCGGTTTTTGGACAGTGGAAATTGGTGTTTCATGTTTGATTAGTTCGTAACAATTTAAGAGCTCGTTAATATTCTTGTATATGAATAAATAAACACAGTACTCTGTCGAAGTATTCAAGTGATTAGCATTGAAACTTTGGGAAGAACATGGAGGTATTGAATTATCAACACTGAATGGTGATAGCGTTAGATTCTCCTGTACTGAATCAACAACTGGACTACAATTTTTGCTATTATTATGATTGTCATCAGCGGTTGTACTACAATTGTTTCCTAATAGACTATTATTCGGGGCAGAGAACGCTGACATCTGTGATGCTGTCAGAGATATATGAACGGATTGAATCGTTAGGCCATTTGGACGACGATTAGGAGGATCTGAGTAGAACGGTAAAGGATTGAGGAGAACAGGTGTTTGACTACGAAGACTTTTAGGAGAATTTGAAAGAACTGTGACACGAAACTGACGTCCATTCTAACAAAGTAGACAAAATAAGCATAAGGGGAATGATAAGTGAAGATGTATCATTTTTTAGAGGGATTACTCAATTTGAAGCGGAAAAAATATTTTGTTCAATAGAGAGAAATGATAGGCGTATGAACCGGTTGGCACATGAACTCAATTAATTAATACATTGATGTGAAATATATATTAAATGATTTATTGCTCTATTAACTCCCTAATGATGTAAGCATGGGTCAAAATGGTGAACTCCGCAATTGTAAAGAGAATTTTTGGGATTCAGAAATGTATAGATGATCAGTTTTCAGAAACATATATTTCAATATAACTGAAAAATTTAGATAATATTACATTACGTATTAGTTTAGACAGACCACTGGTAAAATAACCAGAAATACAATAGACTCAATTACAACACTAATAGAGTATTGAGTGATAGCTATTCAACGATAACACGTCAGTTTTTATATCTTCATACCATCAGCAATTAAAGTTCCTTTTGGACTTTGTTTAAAGACAAACCAGTTAAAAATGTCTTATGTATGAAAAATAGTTTTCATTAGAGAAAGTTAGGATTAAGGTAAATGTTCACAAAGTTTGTTGTTTAAAGTTAGGGACTTCATAAATGGGTTTAGTGGATTTGGCTTTCAACTAGTAGGTTGCAGATTCAGACCACATTCCAATTGCAGACTTGACCACTTTGTAAGGGTTGGGGATAATACCCGGCTGTTAGACAGAAATAGTTGAAGTGACTCTCGAGCCTGTGACCTACAGGCTGAAAGCCGAGTGCTTTAATTTACAGAGTATCATGCTAAAAAAAGAAGAAACCTAGAAAGAAGTGAACCAGCCACAATTCACAACGACGAATTAATGAAGCAACTAAAAATAGTTTGAAGAGAGAGAAAATAGGTTGTTATTAGTCGTATAAATATTTAGTTAAGGAATGCTTTTAAAAAGTATGGCATTTATATCACACAGTTATCCAGGTGACTAGTTTTTTAGTGAAGTTGATGATATGATGAAACGAGTAGTGTGGGAGTACAGCTCATAGAAATATCACACACATATTTATATTAGATAATTAGAAGACGCTTGTATTGTTGTGCTCATAGTTTTTTATTTTATTTTTAAGCTTTTTTTGACCTATAAATAGTTGTCATAACTTATTGTTGCAGATTTATCATGAATTAACAATCAACAACTCTGGCTTTGTATTACTTATGACTAAGTTATGTACATACTGTAATTTCTTGTGTTGTGTGGTCAGTCATTCCAAGCATATTAATGTTTGTTTTGAATCATGGTTGAACGGATATTACAAAAAACTGATCTGCTTTTTATGTTCATCTCTTCATTGACCACTGAGTTAAAAGCTCGAGGGCATATAGACATTAACATTTTGGGTGCTATTCATTAGTCAGTGTCAATTAGTAAATAGGTCGCGGGTTTTACTAGCAATATGGGCAATCGAACTAGAGAGTTGGTACAACTGCTTTCCTGCCATTACGGTCAGGTTACACGGAACCCAACATAATCCAACCAAGCAATCTGTTTTTTTTCTGATATAAGAGTCAGTTAGTTGTTAGCATCGGAATCTGAAGAGAGCATTTCCTTACATTTAGGACTCGTCAGATGGATTTACTTGCATCTCAGTGTTAACATTCACATTGGGACTCGGACACATTACCCTTCACTTCAATAGTCCATGGCGCTATTCACTAAGCTACTGAGTTTAGATAGTCCGTGGCTTATGGAACGGGTATGTATCCTATTTATAAATGCCTGGATCTTCACGTTGTCGTTCTTAAGAGCTGCAATTGATTAGTCGCTCGTAATATGGACATCATGAGATCCTTTTGATACCCCCAATTATTCACAAATATTTTTCGTAAAGTCGGTTAGTGACACACATATACAGAAAAGGACTGACTGATTAAATACCTTAATAGCAACAAACAAGAAAATTTAAACACTTATGACTATGGCTTTATCTCAAACCTAAAAGTAAAATAATTGCCAATTGATTCTCATCAGGTTTTACAGTTATACAATCAAATTAAAGTTTCAAATTTAAGGCAAATAAATAAATTAGGATTGTTGGTGAAATCAAATCAAATTGTTGAAATGACTAGTGTATAATATTAACTGGAATCAGAATAAATATAGATAAAACAAGGTGGGAGAGATAATGATGTAATCATTAGATCAAGTTTGGATGAAAAATTTATTTAAAAGAATATTTTTCGTTTAATTGTGTTTTTCAATAATTTATCTTCATAACACTTTTAGAAGGTTAAACATCAAACCTTAAAATCCTAGTGAGTAAGATAAGGACTTGTCAGGATTTAATTAATTGTCGATTAACGGTTGCCAGTCGTGAAACTAAATATTAATTTTAAAGATGTGTACTATGACAGGGTATATATATATTAATATAACAAGAATTTACTTGTTGGGGTTAAGCATTTACTATGAGTAATTCTTTAAAAATATTCCAAGTAACCAATGTGTTACCTGATCTGTGTATGAGTGCTTTCAATTTTATATTTCTTTAGGTCATGATGTGTAGGCGTCTTAAAATTAATACATACGAAAATCGTAACACATTGTTTAACAGACATTTATAACTACATAATAGCACAAACAAACAAGAAAATCAATATGAAATGTGTCTGCACACAAATTGTTATGGTATAAAGTTGAAAGTGATCAGAAAGCTATGGTGAATTAAATTTCGACGAAAGTAACCAAAACAGAAACACAGTCATCTTAATATTGATGGTAAAGTTGTAAATCAAACTTAATACGGCTAGTACGAAGTATATAGACTGCTACTTTGAAGGTAATTACGCTGCATTTCTGAAAATGAGTGAGTTTGAGGAAAAAACACCTACTTGTTCGATAATCGGAGAGTATTCGATTTTATGATGAACGACCAGTAGTCATTAAAATACTTCGGATTGTGATCCGAACCCAATTTATATGGATAAACCGTCTTAAGACAATGATAAGAAACGAATTGGACAAATATAGCAGTTGAATTGGTAAATACACATAGATGTGGCGAATTCAGGCAATCTGTCTCTATTAACCGTTCTTATTATGGGGCAGTTGTAGAAGACGGTACTCAGTCGAGCTGCATTAAATGTTTTCTGTACTGCCTCTGTGTCACGATTTCTTCCGTAGCATCATTTAAGAATTACAACTTTAGGAACAATACCTTCTTCTGAACAGTAGGTACTCTTCTCCTTCTTTTCGTCTCCTTCATGTGTTTGTCGATGAATTTCATTGGGTACCCATTTCTACTAAGCAGTATTAGCCAATTCATCTAAAATAATGTCATCCGAGCAAATCAAATTATATAGGGCGTACAATTCGGCAAGTTCGTAAAAGAATAACAGAACACCATCCGTCGAGGTTGAGTAAAGGACAGGTAAAGGTGATTAAGAGTTCTATTCTCGCTCACTTGGTGGACACAGGTCATCAAGTTAAACTGAATAAAGCGTTACGTATGCCTGAACACCGATTACCACGACGAGCTATGCTGACTAGTATTGGGGATAGTTGGAAGAGAGTTAGGGACAGCCAAACCAAAACATGGCATCAGTGCTTGAAGTCACTAACTTCTAGCCTGATCCATGTTGGTAGATGCAGACTACCTGGTTGGGGTCCGTGTGACTATCGCAACCAATGGTTGGAGACTGTGGGTGACATGGCTCAGAATCGATCACAATGACGTAGGTATATACACTCTTTATTTTCCATTAAGCTGTGAGATTAAAATTGCTTCATATCTTTCTTCCTGTACTATATCCTTATATACAGTCTTTGTTTATATATTACCACCACTAAATTAACTACTTCTATAAATTTGGTGTTCATTTTGTTGCGCTAATGAGGTATGGCAACTAAGAACGATGCATATGTGTGCCTGGTCCTACATTGTAGCTGACTGACTGGTGATTGATGGTAAAAAACTAAGTGTGTTCAAATACAATACAGAAGTACCGTGCACAAAAAACTGGAAAGACAATGTCCACTATCCGTTGGAAACAATGGAGAGAAATGGTCATATGCCCTCACTCTTTTTGAAGTGATTTGGTAGAAAGCTTCTTCTAAAATGTTAATGAACATGATTAAAGGGCATTCCTCTCCTCTCGAAACAGCCTTGTCAAACGAACTAAAGTAAAGTTTTGCACTAACAAATACAGATAATATTGACTTGTGACACATGTGGCCATATTTAAACATCTGGTGTGATTATATCCACTTCGTTTGAAAATCAAACATTTTGAAATAAAAACCACGAAAAAAAGTACTAAGGATATACTTAGAAAATCAACAATTTACCACAATCTCATTGTAGAAAGCATAATTATGCTAAGTTGGCATTTAGTTTTAGAATTTCACCACAGAAAAATGCATGACATGCCCAAAACAATTTACGTAACAAAGAACTTATGTTAATTCATTATTTGTTTGTTTCTTTTATAATAAATAAATTTGTAATATAAACACTAATTAGTCATATTATTTATTGATTCTAATAATCACAAAAATTCGAGAATATATGATTATAATTAAGTTTAAATGTTAGGCGGAATTGTCACAATTAATTAGGCATAACTACGAAGATAATTATCGATGTATGCAAAGAGAAATATAGAGAAGTGAATCGACAAATTACATTATTCATGTTATATAAATTAGAAACAAACACAAATATATTGTATTCTCATGAGTACAGGTGTCAATTATGAGCTTCCTATCAAATGGGGAAAGCTAACAAATCAAACTAATTGATCATATTTAACTTCTAACAAACTCAGGTACAAAAAATAACAAGACATTTAAGTCTTCTTTTGGGAGCTTTGTATATAATCAGCGCACATATTGAGCAAACACAAAACAAACAAGCTAAATTTAGCTAACGGATACCTCAACTTTTACGAGTTAATAAACAACAGCCATATTAATGTCACGTAAAGGATGTTGCAATCTGATTAACTTTGAACTTATGCCATCACAAACAAACACATCGCGGCACAGTAAACAAAATTTTAGGACAAACAGAGCTTACTAGATAGCCGTAGACGAGTAGTAAGCCTTGTATGGAAGTTGAGAAAAATAGATAATGAATTTAAGTTTCAACAGTACTTATACAACGTTATAACAATGATGGATGGTGCGAGTAAAAATGGCCTAAATATAGACTTTGTGATCTACCTGTCATAGTCAAACTCTAATTTTGCGACTACTTTAACTTCTGTTACATGAGGATTTGTCTCATGCGACAACCTACTACAAGCGCCGATATAACCACATGCAATATTAGATGTAATACTAACTGGGGAATTATTAGATTGGAAAGAAGCTAAAAGAAGCCCGGCTAGGAAATATAATTAGATAGTGCAATCGCTGACTATTTGCTTGAATCACTTATGAAGGTTCAGAATTTTTTGTGATAGTGTTAATAATAAGTGGATAGAGATCCAAGATGGCATATTTAAAAGCTGATCACACTAGTGGAGAATAATTCACTTTTTGTGTTCTTAATTGAGAAAACAGCGCTACTTCCTTTTCTTGACTTAACATAAAAACTTTTATTTGTACTGATTATTTTATGCTGCTGTTGTAAAGTATAACAACTTGAACCAATATGTTTTAACTCTGCAATTGTACTTTTTCTAACAATTGTCCGTTTCTGAAGGTATGTTAATTCAAAATTTACACATAAAACATTTGCGTACATGAATCATTAATAAACGCTTCACAAATATAGTCTGTTAGAGACTACGTAAATATTGTAAGTAAATTTAACAAATGTGTATTATTTATCACTATAACCAATTTAGTTTTGCAGAGATAGTTTGAGTCATCAGAAACTGACCAACAAAGGAATGATTAAAAAACATGCAGTGTCATATATTCAGATATAAAATTTATTTATATAGGTCGAAATACTATTATGGTAGGTTGATGCCGATGAGCTAAGTCTTACAATTCTAATTTACGAATCTTATCACGATAAGAACAAGTATATCATGCTACATCAGTCAGTCAGTCAGCCAGCGACAACGTAGGACCAGGCACACATATGCATCGGTCCCAGTTGCCATACCTCGTTAGCACAAGATGAACACCAAATTTATAGAAGTAGTTAATTTAGTGGTGGTAATATATAAACAAAGATTGTATATAAGGATATAGTACAGGAAGAAAGATATGAAGCAATTTTAATCTCACAGCTTAATGGAAAATAAAGAGTGTATATACCTACGTCATTGTGATCGATTCTGAGCCATGTCACCCACAGTCTCCAACCATTGGTTGCGATAGTCACACGGACCCCAACCAGGTAGTCTGCATCTACCAACATGGATCAGGCTAGAAGTTAGTGACTTCAAGCACTGATGCCATGTTTTGGTTTGGCTGTCCCTAACTCTCTTCCAACCATCCCCTACACTAGTCAACATTGCGCGTCGTTGTAATCGGTGTTCAGGTATACGTAACACATGGCCCAACCATCTCAGTCGATGAAGATTCATCACCTCATCAACTGATTTACCATCATTTCCTAATACCCCGTGTCTAACCTCACTATTACTTACCCGGTTATCCCAGCAGATAAGAGCAATATTTCTAAGGCATCTGTGGTTAAATACTAATAACCTACGAGTATCTTCTACTCTTAATGGCCATGTTTCGCAGCCGTAAAGTAGAACAGAGCGAACTGCTGTGCAGTATACTCTTCCTTTAATTGGTAGACGGATATTTCGTCTTCGCCATAGGTGACATAAGTTGGCAAAAGCCAAACGAGCTTTTTGAATCCGTGCTGAGATTTCGTCAGATACCAACCCATTAGGGATGATCAGACTTCCAAGATAAGTGAAGTTGTCGACGCGTTCGACTACTTTACTCCCTATCCTTAGTTCAGGTGTTGACGTAGGCCAGTCCTGGAGTAATAATTTGCATTTGTATGAGGAGGAACGCATCCCAAACATCCTGGCATTATTACTCAGTTCTAACAGAAGACTCATGCTACATAGAAAACAAAAGTGAATAGATAAGTCATATTTCGATCAGACAGTAACAAAAAGGAAATGTTTATACATTAAAAGCATAATCCTGTATAAGTTGAATGAAAAATATGTGCTATATTTAAGTGCAACTCATCTATGATGTCTTTGCTGGGAAATTCGAAGATTTGATGATTATTTACGATTTTCCATACTAGGAATGCTTGACCTATAATGGTTTAGACAGTAAGTTTTGTTCCGGTTTCAGTGAACATCAACTTGACAGAAAGGCGTGTGAAGAAAGATGTTAAATAGCCTAGGGACTATAGAAACAGTTTTTCAAGTAGTTAGATTCATTTTCAATAATAAAAATGACTTCACAATTTATCTGATCATTCTGCTTTATGTAACAAGTATTCATAGAATAGTGCCGATAAACACGCCAAGGTAATTCTTATATTGTAATAAGTGGTTTGAAGATAAAGGATTCATAACACAAAGTTAATATTAACTTACTTTATCAATGTAAAATTCTAATGGACAAAGGTCTCGTATTGCTGCTGCGACATAACTAGAGGTTTCTGTCTGCCCACGTACATAGATTTTTACAAACGGATTTCCGGGAGGAACGTGGTGAGATAAGCCTGGACATTTGGTGGGAAGTGCTACTGATTTACGAGTTTCAATGGAGGATGGATTGATTGGTTCAAAAGAACTTGAACTGCATGGACCAGGTAGAAGAAGAGGTGGTGGAGGAGTTAATAAGACAGATAGATCACATACATCACTTATTTTTGGTAAAGTTATATCTTGGACAGAAGTACTGTTTTCAGAAAAATGGGTATCACTAAATGGACTTGCGTTCATTTGATAGGTTTTCGTTTTCAAAGGTGAATTGGGGTTTGTGATAGGAATGTTTGGATGGTTTACGCCAATCATCTTATAAGAAAGAATAAATAAATTTAGTAAGACAAGTTGGGAAAAAAATGAGATGAAATGTTGTGATCCGAAAACGAGTGCTGGAAGTCATGGAAATACTTTATATGTAATTAGGAATTATAAGTCGCTGTAATTAGCTGAAAGTAATTAACCACAAGCAAAAGATACACGGATATTATACTATATTTGGTTGCGCTGACTTATTACATAAAATAATCAAATCACAACGAAACAAAGAAAAATAACTTCTGACCCATTTTAATCTTAAGAGATGAAATTAACAAGATAAATAGTAAAGGAGTCGACATAGAGTAGTATTAATGATAACGATATAATCCAAACATCAGGAATAAGTTTTGAAAAGACAGGACAGATAAGTATGTATAAAAAATAATATTAGGACCTAATATGTAGTACAAATCAAGGAGTGAATACACCAGCACGATCGTGACCGATTGAGTCATGTTGCCCGACGACTCTAGCCACTAATCGCGGTTAGCACGCAGACCCCAACCAGCTTGTCTGAATCTACCGATATGGTTCACATTAACGGTCAACAAGTTCATGAACTGATGTCACGTTTTTAATTTGTTACCCCTAGCTTTCTTCCAACTTACTCAAACAGCTAGTATCCACTGTCGAGGTAGGCAGTGGTTAGGTATAGGTAGCACAGATCCCAATCATCCCAGTTGAAGATTCACTATCGTATCGACCGGTTCGCCATTGCCTAGTACTCTGGGTCAAACCACAGTACTGCTTACTTGGTCGTTTCACTATACGGGAGCAAGGTTTCGACGAAACGTATGATCGAAAACCTTGAGTTTCTGCACACGCTTTTCTTATATAGCCCATATTTTATAGTCTTGTAGCAATACAGAAGGGACAGTTAGAGCAAAAGTATGGACCTAAGAGGAGGGGAACACATTCCAAGCAGGCTTGTATTGTCGGTCAAGGAGATCAGAAGACTCTACATAATATCAGTATCTTCACTTAATCGGACTAAATTTTCCGCGTATTCCAAACCGATAACTGAACCTCCTAGTAGGAAACTATTCACTGGGTAGTTAAATGAATGAGGGCCTAGAATAATAAAGAGAAATGAAAAGACTTACTACACAAATATAGTGCAAAACTGAGAAAAATGTGAGTATTGATTATAACGTAGTTGAAAAGACAAGATGAACACTTGAAATATAATATTAATAGGTTATTTCTTGAAAAAAAATAATGATAATCAACTAGTATATGGATTTATTAAGAATGATAACAATCTAAAATAAGAGCAACAAGAAAACATGGCATTCGTGAAAATTAATTTAACAAACCTGTGGTAAGATGATTCGTTCGGGAATTCTTAGTTTATTATACTGTTTAGGAAATGTAAGAGATTGTACAAGTGGGGGAAAATAAGATACATGTCGAACATTTGGAGATTCCCTGCTAGTCAAATGGGCGTTTGTGTCACATAAACTAGTACCATATTGAACCCAACGTATACTAGACCTAAAAGAAATATGAAAGTAGAAAGAGGTACTAATGTGAAAACGGTGGTGAGATTCTAGGAGAATAAAGAATTTAAAAGGTATCTCACGCTTGGTTATTCACTTAATCTGACATATTGAAACAATATAATTAACAAGATAAGGCTTTGAAAATATCACATATTTTAATGAGATAAGGCATGATATTTTGTTTATCTTATTCAATAAATATGAAAATAAATCAAGTAGGTCTTAATATTAACAAGTGTAAAGACAGTTGGTATGTAACCTTTATAACTATCCAGTTAACATATTTTGCGTACACTGGGCAACATAATGGACGTCAATATTTCAAAACAACTGATGACATCCTTAAACCAAAATTATTTTTGCACCACTATGTGGGCTATAGTACGTGTTCTTTCTAACTTAAAAGCATTCTGTATGGTAAAGGGCTGATAGCCTTTTGAGAGGAAGCCATATTTACAGTCTTCAATGAGTCCGGACGATCGTTTTGTTTGACTAAACACACTTCCTAAACAGGTTGAAAAACGATACGGGAGCTCGGGATCTATTGATGCTCCAAAAATGGTCTTAGTCAAAGCCTAAGATCACAGGAAGTGAAGTAGTTGAAGGTATTGTCTGACTCACTGATCTGGTAAGTCTCGTCCCCCGTGGAGGTCTGGCGACTGACGAAACCTCTGCACAGGTCGACAAATCCTTGACTTTCGCCATCTACGAAGTAGGTAAGATATCTGTCTGGCTAATAAAGCAAGAGAATAGTACGCGGTAATCCTCAGTCCTACTTTGTCGCTCTGAAACAACCTTTGAAAAAGACACCTGTAGGTTACCAATATCTGAAGGATTGCTTGTGTATGGTGGGACAATTAAGTAAACAATGTTGAACTTAGGGGTAGGGTAGTGGGTAAATATGGCAAATTAGTTAATGAGATAGTAAATCTTCAAGGCTGAAGTCCTAAGTGATAGCTGGAAACCAGTCACATTGACACGCATGCATTTATCCTTCCACAAGTTTTGGGTTCTAATATTGGAACAAACTTTTTGTTCACATATTTTATTCTCTTTAAACTATATTCCTAATATTTAACCTTTCCATTATTTATAGTGCCATTATTTCGACTCCTTTGATGTTAATCCTGATAATTGTATCTCACTGTACTGATAGTAACAACTTCAGGCAATACCCATTTATGCCAAAGTGTACATCGAGCGACTGGTCGAAGAAAGTGAGTGACTAGGTCTAGATAAGAAACGATCACACTAGTTATTCCCACCTCAAAAGCAAAGTTTTAAACGGTGAGCGATACATAGCCTACAGAAAAACTTTTCACTATTTATTAGTTAATGTTAAAATATTTCTAAAAGCTCTGAACACTTAAGAAAAGAAATATTACATTTTATCCGCCTGACTAGTAATCGTTATCCTTCATCACACACATAAGTTAAAGCGTTAAGAAACTAACATTCGATTAGCTAGAATGCACGAAAACGTAACATATGATAGACGGTAGTAGCCTTTAAACATATTCAAGCAAGAAATCACGAAATTATTTTCACGCAGACTTTTGTGTACCAATGAATTGTGTAGTTTTTAAAACAATTTGAAGATAAAGGATCCTACCAACATGGACAACTAATTATTATCCCAACAAACACTACGAGGAATATTGCTGATGCTAAGGGTAGATGTGCTTGATGATTTTGACTGTCCATACAGTTAAATCGTAAAATGATAGTAGCAAACACTATAACCATACTGAATTTTAAAGTAAAAAAGACACCCCCAAAGATGAATCCAAATGACCTAACAATAAGCCTTATGGTTTTGAAAACAATATTTTGGCTCTTGAGAAAGTAGATACACTTTCCTTGAACTACTATTTATATTGACAGTCACTAATAAGCGGTTAATTCTTGAAAAATGAAACATGGGAGAACTTAACATATAAATTGCCATAAAATTAACAATTAAGTGTTATTAACCTATTAAGCAAAGTTTAATCAACTATTAACGAAACTTACCACACTGACTTTCCGAAACACATAGGAAATGGTTTTCGTTTGTTGGGTGATTTTCTGAGTGAATAACGTAAAAGGCCAGTATGGAGTTTGTACTTATTAGCACGTTTGTGATGTCCAAAAACTGCAGCACATTGAAAAACAGTTTTGACATTCACATTTAAAAGTGAAGACGTTTCTACGACACACATATTTTTCACCCAATGTTTTTTAAACCCACTGAGTGTATCCTTAAACAGAGTTGAGGCCTGACTAGAAACACTCATATCATGTTTAGATGTTGCGACAACTACTGGAAATTTAAGAGACGAAAGACGAGTGATGACATGACCGAAAAAGGCAGCTTGTTGTAAGGCCGAAGGACCACATAGTGACATGTCATATACACATACAAAGACATCAACATATAAAGTAGTGGGCTCAAGGAAAACCTGAGGAAAAGCCGACTCGTGTCCAAGCTGCTCCTTGCAAACGTAGCACAACTTTCTTGAATGCAAGGTGATTTTAAAGTCCAAACATCGTTCTGCATACGTTCTGGGTTCGAAAAGGGGCTGGAAAAGATGGTCATCCACAAAGTCACACTGCTCAATTACTCGGACATGTAGTTTACAGCCATTAACATTTACACTACTGTCTCCCCAATATAGCCAATGGCTTGAACAGATAACTTCACTATCATAATCTGATAAACTTAAAATTGATAAGTGGTTTTCATTGAACCTGTATGGTGCCATAAAACGGTTTATCAGACAAGATTTCCCAACATGTTGACGAACATCCGTTCCTGAGCCTGGATACCCAACTACGGATATGGTGACTTTCCCAGTCTTTTCGAATACCATGTTTTCTCATACAGATATAAGAACATTCTGGACACTCAACCAACCACCTTTCTCACGTGCCTGTAGACTTGATTTGACGGGTATAATTAGAACATTTTCAAACAAATTTCTACTACAATTAGTTCTCTGAACCTTAATATCAAAAAACTACCATTTCAAATAACATTTCAGGTGACTATCTGAGTTATATATTTCCAATGCTTCCGAGACCTGTGTGGGTAGAACGTATGTCTCCAAAAACACCTTAAATGTGTGTTACACGAATGTTCGTAGTCTTCGGAATAAGATGTCTGAGCTGAGTTTGATGGTAGACGACTTAAATCCGGATATAATTGTTATCACCGAAACTTGGCTCACTGTAGATATAGACTGTTCTCCAGTCATTTCTATCAGAAGTGATAGAGTTAGAAGTCGCAAGGGAGGAGGCATATTATTATATGTTAAGGACCACTTCTGCATAAACTCGATCATATCGGAGGCGCATGTAAGTGGTACGTGTGAGGTAGTATGTTGTACAATTAGGTCTAGAAACGGGCTAGTGACGATAGGAGGAATATATCGTAGTCCGTGTTGTCTCGCTGACGACTTTATCCTGAGACACGTCTGTTCTTGGAGTAAAGCAGAATCTTGTCTCACCGTTAGAGACTTCAATGCACCCCATATAAACTGGAAAGAGCTCACAGCTCCAGGTGGGGGTTTCCATAGCGTCCTTCTGTCGTCAATTATTCAATGTGCACTTGTACAATGTATCGTTAAGCCGATGCATATATACTTGGAACATAATCCGTCATTGATAGACCTTGTCCTCACACACCACTGTGAAGATATCGTCGACATTCAACACCTTCCCCCACTGGTGAATAGTGACCATGTCGTACTTTCCTTTAAATTCCGGATACATGGTATAGAATTTGCATCAGCTCCACCCCGTCCTAATATCTGGAGAGCTAATATTCCGGCAATCAGGGACTATGCTATCTCAATTGACTGGTCGGTCGATGCTGATGGATCGATTGATGATGCATGGAATAGGTTTAAGTCTACGTTCGAATCCGTAACTCAACCGTTTATCCCATGGTAAGCACGTAAGCTATCATATTGCCCTCCATGGATTAATAAGGAAACCTGGAAGCTGTTGAAGTGTAGAAAACACTTCTGGGACTTATTCTTGTCAACAGGTCAGGCATCATTTAAGTGCGACTATAAAAAAATCCGGAATATATGTAAAAAGACCATAGCTAAATCCCGCACGGCTTACGAACGACAGTTGGCATACGATGGCCGTACCTGTCCGAAGCGACTGTTTTCGTACGTTAAAAGGCGGACGAAACGTAGTGATGGTATCCCCTCATTACTGTCAAGCGAAAATTCAGCTTTATTGGCTGAATCTAATCTAGCGAAAGCGGAGACATTTGTTAACTATTTCAGTGAAGTCTACTCTACGTGTAGTGTTACAACTACTCGTCCAGTTCACAATGAGATACCAGCCATAGGACCTTTACACGTGACAGAGGATATTGTTCTTCCTTTGATAACCGACCTAAAACATTGTAAGATACCGGGCCCCGATGGGTTACACCCACGTTTACTGTCGTCGCTTGCGGACATTATCTCAAGACCGCTCACGATGCTATTCAACATGTCCCTTTCACAGGCTCAACTACCTAGAGACTGGAAAGACGCCATAGTTAGTCCTATATTTAAGGATGGTCAGAGACGGATCGTATCTAACTACCGGCCTGTTAGCCTGACCAGCATAGTAGTTAAGTAACTTGAAAAATTAATTCGGGCTAAGCTACTAAGCCACATAGATTCGTACAATCTGTCAACCCCCGAGCAACATGGGTTTCGTAAAAAGCATTCATGCTTGACTAACTTACTCATTGCGAGAGAGGATTGGACAGCTGCCCTAGACAACGGCCAGTCTGTCGACGTGATATTCATAAATTTTAGCAAAGCGTTTGATAAGGTTTCACACTTAGGTCTTATGCAAAAGCTCTCGAGCTTTGGAATAACAGGTGCTATACAGGAATGAATAGGAAGCTTCTTATGTGACCGCAGACAGAGTAAGGGTCAATGGAACGCTATCCGAATGGAAACCGGTCAAAAGTGGTGTACCTCAAGGCACCATCTTAGGCCCTCTACTTTTCCTTTTGGATATTAATGAACTACCTTTATTACTTAAGTCGTCGACGTTATTGTTTTCGGATGATGTTAAAATCTGGAGAACAATAAGAAATGAGACTGATCGTTGTTATCTGCAAGCAGATTTAGACGAATTAGTTAGGTGGGCTCATGATTGGGGCCTGGAAGTTAATTCTAGGAAGAGCGTGTTCATGCACATCGGGCACGATATTAGTTACCATTATACCATTAATGGTACATCTGTGCCACGCGCTCATGAGCACAAAGACTTAGGAGTAATTATAAGCCACGACTTAAAAACTACTACGCACTGCAATGCGGTTGCTTCCAAAGGCCTTCGCGCGCTATGGTCGCTTCGCAGAGCATTTAAATGCTTTGACGAGGATATGTTTCGAATTTTATATCCCACCTATGTAAGGCCACACTTAGAATACTGTATCCAAGCAGCTAGCCCTTGTCTGATAAAGGATACTAAATCGCTTGAGCGTGTCCAGCGTGTAGGGACAAAATTAGTAAAGGGTCTTTCTAAACTTCCTTACGATGAGCGTTTAAAACGTCTAAATCTTTTCCCCTTATCTTATCGTAGGACACGAGGTGACTTTATACTGGCATTTCGTATCTTTAATTATGATCTGGGTGTTAATATGTCTTATCTTTTTGCTCCCTCCAGCACTAATAATCTCCGGGGTCATGGCAAGAAGGTTCTGAAATCGCGATCTAATAAACTAAAGGTGGGGTCCCGTTTTTCTCATCGAGTGGTCAATGATTGGAACGCTTTACCAGAACAAGTGGTATCAGCACCATCAGTGAACATTTTCAAAAAGAAGCTGAACCTTCACTGGAAGGAAATCCGTCAGGATTAACACAGATTCATCAACCTACTATCCTTATTACTGAAGACTGAAGACTGAGTCTTGGCGAAATTTCAATTTGCTCGTTACCACAGGTACAGTTATATGTTTACGCATATTATATTTAGGCCTGGTTCTGTGTTACTAGTCAAGTAATTTTGCACATCTTGCTGTAAATATTTTACCTAAAATATGTGACCTACTATATCCACTGGCATTCTAGGTGGATTTTCTACTGCATAGTACGAAATCACAAGACTTGACAATTAGTAAAAGTTGAAAGTACACTTTGTTCCATTTCTAACTCCTCAATGTTGCCCCTAACTTTTGCGTCGGGACTAAGCTTCAGCAAATATTTCTGAGGACGGCGGTGGGTGTCTAATACTTTATAATCGATCACGCTCATCATCTCAAATTATTTACCTACAGCACATGTTTTAGGTCATTATGAGTTCGCTTCTAAGCTTCCTACACTCTGAGGAGTATAGATTTGGTGTTTTTGGGTGAACTTTGTGGAATTCGGTTCAAGACCACGAACCCATTTTGTCGATTATTTTAATATATACTCCGATATATTCTTATTCTTTTGGAGTGAAGAAAAAAACGTTGTTTTTCTACTTCATGCAATGCCGAGCAAAACGTCCACCATAAAAGTACTTGAGAACGAACCTCAAAGATTCTAGTGGAGTTTTGGCTAAAATGTCATTTTTGTCACAATTGGGATATGGTGTTAGACTTTAGGAAACGAGGACACCCAAATATTTTACACCAAGGACACTTCTTGCAGAGAACCATTTGAGTGCTACATGTAGCTTGTAGCGTGATTCAGATGGATTTCTTTACATTTTTCAAATTTACGTGTTAGTCTTCTGTTACGTTCCTAACATTCCCTTCGAGTTAGGTTCCCCTAAACTGCTAACCTGTCCTTTTCGTTGTTGATTTTTTTTCCAGAATGTTGCGCCATCAGTTAGAAACAATATTTTGTCAGGTACCTGAACTGTAAAAAAATCAGTAGTTTGCCTCGGTGTTAAATATCTAATTACTTAAGTATGAAAAGCTGGTGAAACCATCGTAACTGAGTACCTGTTTAAAAATGTGCCTTTATATAACTTTAAATTGCCTAAAGTCTTGGAAACTGTTTGTGGAATAAGCCAATAGATAGTACATTGGATAACATTAACCTAGACTTCCTAATGCATCAGACTGGGTATTAGCTTCCCATTCTATCAGTTTAAGATTGCCCTTTAATGTTGTAATATCCAAGTGTTTTAAATCTTATCATCTACTGTCTACAAATCACTTTAGTTCAATCTTACGGATAAGTTGGAAGTGTACATCACCTTACTTAAAAACTCGAGAATCAAGTTATTAAGTGAAAATCTTTTTTATTGAAGATTCAGACTAAGTGTGATGGCTCCTGGTTATTCCTCTAATGTACGTATTTAGCGAAGTCGACCTTAAGATAACTGAATTCTCTTAAAACTAAGACCTGCGTTTGTACTAATATAAAATATTGGCTTAATCCTTCCTCAATCTAGTTGTCACATGTGGTGTCAGTGACAGGTTTTCAATTAATAATTTCAACCAAACACCTCTTAGTGTTAAACAAAATTACAAATCCTCCGAAAGAACAAAACTCTTAAGTGTTTACATGAAATGCCTCTAAGCAAGAAGTATAGAGCAGAACCCCACATTTTACGCCCACATTTCTGTAGTCGCATAAAAAAGACATGCCAACTGTTGTTACTTCTTAGTCAATAATTCAAGTTGTCCACGTTACTGCTACTCCTGTCAGACAAATATTATTTAATTTATATCATCCCCACAACTCAATCATTTTTGCGGACAAACTTTGGAGGTTTATACATAGGTAGTTAGTAGTTCCTATTTGAACTGAGTGTATATTTATGACCTCTTTGTCTGATGGTATCTTATGCGAATAAGAAAAAAACCTATCTACGCGAAGCTGTCTAATAGAATTATTGCTACTCCTCCCACTAACATTTTTACTGCACAGTTCAAAAATGAAATGACCAATTCTATTGTATTCAGTCCTCAAACTGTGCAAACCACCATGGTCGCGTGAAGTTTTGTCCAATAAATTTCAGTCTCAGTAAATAGTCTTATTTTTGCTGACTACTGAATGTTCTTGATGTTAAATTAACTACCCGCTAAATCAACTATTGGTCTTATAATCTTTTTTTCCGTAATTTTAGATATATAATTCATCCTTTGGATGAAGTGTTATGTGGAAAATAAAAGATATTATTCTATTTCCTATTTTCGGGGTTCATCTTATTATCAGTGGACTGAGAAATGATCGCTTTTCTACAATGTGTCACCATGGTATGATAAATCACTCCGAAGTTGTAACTCATGTGATGTCTTCTAATGTGCAAAAACTTATTCGTCGCAATGCGCAAACGGAATTAAGAATTCATACGCATTATGATAGGTCAATTAAATCTCTCAAAAATTTCCAGGATATTAAGGTAAGTTTTGCCTAACTGACGTATCCCTTCTTAGAAAAATATAATTGAAGTAGCAATTAATTTTTGGGAAGATGCTCTACTGTTACGTCAGTCTCATGCCATGCCCAGTAGACTGACACTTGACAGGTAAGAATGAGCGATTTAACCGCTTAGTGTTTCCAGAGTTTGTGTTGATGGTGCTACAAAGCTGATGACTTTTGATAATAAACTCTTGACATTTTGTACCGATGGTTGTGTGGAATGGACGAAATGTGGACCTATAAACGTTCCAGTGTCACATTTAAATGTAAAAAGCCATTTTTATCTATTGAAAACTTTCCTTTGTTTTTATTAGCAGTGTAGGTTTATCTACAATGGAACCCCAATGATTTCAGGTCACAAGGGAGAAGGTATATACCGTGCCAACTTCATACTCTATATTTCATCGCTTAGAACACACAGGTGTAATACTGCTAAAGTCCTGGGTTACGCTGCACACTGCCAACTTGAGGCTAATACTGATCGGTAGATTGACATTTTTATAAAAATATAATCTTATTTTAATCGGAATTCTGGATGTTTTGACCACTCGTCTTGTGTCGCTTTTTACAGCATCCAATTTTCTCTATACAGTCTTAATATCTACTGTACTGTGTTTAGAGGAGTGTGTGTAAATCATTTGTTGGAAAACTCAGATAGTTCTTCAAAGTTTTTGACTTCCATTTTCATTAACACATAAGCTAGTGTTCTTTTAGTATCAAAATATTCATAAATTAACCATGTGATCAAGTATGAACTAGTATTGTCAGATGCACTTCTATTCAGTCCGTTAATAATTATCCAATGGTACCCCGATTCTTCCATACATAGACTGACTAAGGTTCAGTAATAAAACAGCCTGTGTGACTAAATTGTATAGTTCATGACTGTGGTGCCAAATGATGTGGGTTTGAATATCAATGTTCATATACGTTTTCTTGGATTTTCGAATTCATTGTCGAGATAGACCCCAGGAAGTACTGAAAAAACTGTAGAGGCTTGTTACTTTTCAATTCTATGAATCGAAGTCAAAATATAAGGTACTATTGCTTCTTTTCACTTGATTTGTTTTAGCTACAACTCACTTTTTAGTAGATAGAATTGGTTTACTGCCAAGGTCAATACCCTCATTTCGGTCATGGCCTGACTTCCAGTTAGTGTACAAACGTTTTACTTAATTAATTAACATAACTCATTAACTATGTGCAAGTTCGTCTACTTGAGTTCAATTCACATGCTTTATGTCATACCAACAGAAAATCTGTGGTCTATTTATTGGTAGGTAAATGCTTTAACTACAAAGTCACCGCTCCACTAATAAATTATGTACTGACCAAACTACTAAAACAGTCGATTCATATCCAAATATTTTATTTCTACTCGCTTTTATACCGCATTTAATGAGAAATTACGAGCATAGGAGGTTTTATGTTATCCACTTGTTCAGTTGTAACTAGTTTAATCTTAGACTGGAATGTCTTAAAAGCCGAGTGAACAATATCTACTAACCATCAAAAGTACTGAGAATAAGCTCTAAATTAGTCTGCAGAAAGGCTGTTTTTTTCTTTTCAATTTTTCGTTATTTTGTTTCTTCTTTTAGTCCTATGGCTGGCTACATCAATTTCTGTCCTGATACACTAAGTAATGAATATAGCGATAAAACGCGTTCACTGTTTGTTGCTACGCATGAAATATTACATTCACTAGTAAGCGATCGTTCATTATTGTGTAAATGGATTTTAGCTATTTCATGAGGCTTGATAGTGGTTAAAGTCATAATCAGTTTGTCTCCGATTCTAAATGTATAAGTGTAACCTTAAACCACTAGGCTTCTGAGATTCAGTAGAAACAAATTAACGAAATCTTCAAAATATCTTTCCGTCACTAAAGTTAGTCATTGTTACAGAAACACATTTATCTTCATTTAGGAGGTATGTGTTACTCAAATTCCCAAGTTAGACCATGAATACTAACTAGTTACATTACAATCCGAATTTTTAATCCATCTATATTAAAAGTTAGTACATTCATTCAACATTACATGTTAGTATGAGTCTCATTAGTATGACTGTTTGCTTGTCATCACTTTTATGTGGGACAATATAAATAAATCCTGTAATCCCTTTTTAACAATAATATAAGTGCTTTAAGAAGGACAATGTTTTACGACTTTTTTAGCGGAGTAGTTTACTCATGAAGCAACCACTGTTCTTCTAGAAAGCATCATCAGCATAAGCTTCAAATGGAAGTACGCTTTTCGACTTTCTTTACTTATGATCGACACTGTTCTGTCTGTCTTGATTGATTGTTATCAAACCTCGTCTTGTTACTATTCATATGTTTATTTATATTACTTTCCTCATTTACTTGGTTTTTAACATTGCTGGACTTCAATTTTTATACCTTTTTGTAGGGATTCTCTACAAGTTTGTTTGCATTCTACAGAGATAAGCAAAATCGACCATTAACACCACGTGATCCAATAACATTTAAACCTGCGCTAGGCTGGTATTCAGGAAAGAATGGGTATGTTATTGCTTTGTTAAAATCTAATCTCTCGTTATGTTTCTCAATATTTATGTTGAAAATGTGTATACATTTGTCAGTATTAATAATAATAAACCTCTTGTTTTTCTAACGCAATACTTACTCTAAAACAAATGAGGCGGTTTATGAAGGCCTCGTATTCATAGTTTTATCGTTTATCAATACCTCATAAATATCTAAATCCAAATAAGTTGGGTAATTAGTTATGTTGCTTTTAACTAAACATAAAAATGTCGATCAGCAATTTTCATAGTTTTGAGCAACAAAGAATCGATGGAGAAATACTTACTCGGAATCTACAATTTTTTCAGTAAATAACAGCATGAATACCCACTCATCTAAGCATTTGATCAGTGGACCAAATAAAATGTAAGTTTTCTCATGAGTTTGCGTTTTTATAAAGCTGAGCTTCGAGAGATTCAATGTAAAAAAATATATATGGGGTCATGGATTAAATTATTGTCGTAAGTCTCTCAAATCTAATCGCTATTTTTAAGTATGAACCTTAATCTGTCAATCAAACAATCTCCCGCTTGCGGGATCTTAGATGCTCACTGCTAAGGAGTCCCATAATATTATTATTATTAGCTTTATTCAATATTATATTTTTGGTACAATATAGAATTTTCAGCACAAAGTATTTCAACAAGTTTCCGTTTCTCACTTTTTCGTCGATCCTGACGATAAGTATTGAGTGATCGCCAGTTAGAAGTTAGCCGTCTAATAAATTGATATCTAAATAATGTACCTTCTTTTCTTTTTGTATTGCCAGCTTCCAGGTTTTTAATGAGGGTCTAGCTTAGATCGACTCGTGACTTGAACTGTGAAAGTCTCCAAGATTCCAAATAATGGTCAGTCTGTGATTCACACCATCTAATTCAACTTGCGACACATCAGAAAGCACTGAACTGACCATACAACTAGTTTGATAAAATATCCGCCGTTGTATATCTTTCATTCATATATCATTGTTTGAAGTGTAACTGAACTTTGATTAGCAAAATGAAACTGATTTACTAAGTTCTGGAAGTAAATAAGCTCATTTTACAAATACTTAAATATTGGTATCTTAACTTTCATCAGTATATTTTGTATTTGGTCGGGAGTAGAACTTGGAATATTTAATTTATCTTTGAATTTCGTTAATAACATTGATCCTTCTTGAAGGTTATTAATATTTCAACTGTTAATCGAGTCCTCTTTTTTTAAAATGTTTATAAATTATACAGTAACCATTCTTAACAACTAACACTAATATCATTAGTTGGTTTGTAAATACAGTAGATTTACTTGTTGAAAAAGAATGAAATCACTATTCCATCGTTGACCCAAACATACTTGTTTATTTTATTATTGACTATTTACTCTAATGACGACTAATCCTCCACTAGCTGTATATTTTAAACGTGACAACTAATTACAAACCATAATCGTATTTGTGGTCCCTGTTTTTTTTAAATAAGTGATTTCATTAATGTTTATTAATTTGTCTTTTGTTTGAATGAAAAAAAAACAAAATTAGCGACTCAATAGTAGTATAATTTAAAATATTTATTAGTTCATCTCTTATAAATAATAAACAAATAATTTAATGTATGAAATAGTCATCTTTAAAATAAAAATAAAATTAATCAAAAAACTTAAAAAATGATTTCATTTAAGTAAAGATGGATAGTGGCTAGCAGTGGAATCCAGGACGCGCGTTTCGTCCTATTTGGGACTCGTCAGCCATATGTACCTGCATCTCAGAGTTGATGTTCACTCTGGAACTCGAACCCAGTACAGAGCATCAACTCTGAGATGCAGGTACATCCAGATGACGAGTCCTAAATAGGACGAAACGTGCGTCAAACTGGATTCCACTGCTAGCCACTATCCATCTTTGCTTATAATGCTTGTGATTTAAGGCTATATCGAGGCAATACGCATAGAATGCACATATGCCAATTAAAGACTGACCAGTTACAGTCCTAACACATCGATGGGAAGATTCAAGCAAACAATACTAAATGAATTTGATTTCATTTAATTTACAAAAAATTGGGCTTAGAAACCAAGAAAATGAGTAACGGTCAATTATTACAATAATCCTGTTTTTATTATGTTTTTTTTAATAAACACATTGTTTTCTTTACTTGCAATCTAACTATCCCTAAATCAACTATTTTCAAGTTAACTAGCAATAAATAGTTCATGTTTGTTACATTAAAATTTTATAATATTAACAAAAGTCTACCTACATACAAAGTAAATCCTAAAAACTTTTTTTGTCAACTCCTTTTCATCCTTTTAAAGGGTAGATTGTAGGTAATAATTAGATTTACTCTGGTTAAAGCTTTTTGTTAAGAAATTTTTTTTCTATACTTCACTATTCCATTCATTTCGGTATGATAGATTTAAATCCTAAATAATTAGCTTATTTGTTCTTGATTTGTCCTATAATACAATGTTGATATACTTGTTTATGGGTAAGAGTGAAATGGTTGTCTAGTAAATAGTTCAAGTTAATGTTGAACTAATTTTGCTGTTCATTATCATGCTATTTTTTTGAATTTTAAACGAATATTCTGGAAAACATTGTAAGGACTGTCACATTCTATCTTACAAGCTATAATACCCATTCATTTTAAGTCATAATATTAAATATATTTTCATGGAAAGGAAAACATATCAGAATGTTGAATGATTATTTTTCAATGTATGTTTCTATATATGAAAATCAAAAGTTGAAATTTTAACAAGTCACTTAATCAACTCGACAACAATAAATGTTTTATTCTGTCAATTATAATTGTATATTCTTTTCTTATATTCTCAGTCAAGTATACCAATGGAGTGACAACGTGGTTCGAACGGTTAATCGTACTTGGTTAAGTGCTTTTGGAACTTTTCAAAAATTAGCGCACATTGTGGTTTTACCGACTGTTGTAGTAAGTAAATTATATTTTAAGCATACTTTTGAGTATTGTTTTCAATGTTTCAAAATATAAAAATCGTTGACTTCGGTATATATTTAGGTGGTTCTGTGGAGTTTTAGCATAACTAAAAAGTAACTTTCACCATTAAGCTACATTAACTAATAAACATCCAAAAACCAGGTAACATTAGCCTCAGTAGTATAATATGTTGTAATTATGCGAAACGAAAAAGAATTCCGTCACTATTTCTGCGAAATTCTCTCTTGATGGATCAACCTGAAATTTATTTTTAGTGTATCTGTTACCAACATTTAAAAATATGAAGTAAGTAGTTTTACTTGGAGTTGCGATTCAGTATAAAACAAAAACTAAAAGTTTATAATAACTCAGATAGACATAGGCTTTTAGTAAGAGTTGTCTGAGAAACAGTTGTTTTCTCTGACTACATTAACTTGGATGCTGGAATATAGTGTTTAAAGATGTTACCTTAACAACCACAGATTTGTCGAAGAATAGAAAATATATTATATTTTCTTCTAGTCTCGATCTCTTCTCTTTGGTGAGTTTTAGTTTTTACTGATTTCCTATCTTTGTGATGTTGAGAAGTGTGACAACTCAAAATCTCTGCACTGTGGTGCTGCTTTTTTGCATTCTTTACAGGGCTAAAGTTTAATGCTCTTTCGAAAGACTTTTATGAATCTTATTATATGTCATGTTTTCAGCTCCCTCATGTTAATTATACTGACCAAAAGTTAATGATATACAAACTCAGTGTCCAACTTAGCATTTTCAGAGGTAACATCATTATAACCCATAAATTAAGCCTCCTGAGGTAGGATGTTAAATTTGTAATTTCATAGAACGAAAGTAAAAATCCATATCTGGTCACAATTTAGGTTTTATTTAGTCTCTGCAATGTATGATTTGATAGCTAAGCTTCAATTGTTATGTTTAAAAAGATCGTCAGTATTCTTTTCAAGTGGAAGGCATAATTTTAGTATTTTCCCACAAACGTAAAGTCTGTTTTGATAACAGTCTTGACAACATAATTTTGAATAAATTGAGCATTGGGTAGATTGTTATAAATAAATTATATATTTGTAATATCCCAATGAGTAGAAAAATTAGATTTTCTGACTTTTCGTGACTCAGTGTAAGCCACTTCTTCATTGGGATATTACAAATATATAGTCTTGACAACAGTTTGTTTTCGCAAGTTTTGTCATGTTCTTGTGTCATTGCCTAGTAATGTTTCATATTTTAGTGTGAAATAATCGCATATCTTCACCAACTTCTAATGTTTGATACAAGTGTTTGTTGATTTTAATGAAAGCTGTAAAGTCCTTAATATAAGTTGTTATTTTTTCCTCTTCAAAGTGGGAGTCTACATACAAGTAAACATTATTGTATTGGATGTTCAAGAAGTACTATATGGAGTTATATCATCATTAAGTCTTATTAAATGATTGATTTTTCTAATTTATTTACTGCAAACAATGATTTATTTTATTTTAAGCAGAAGTCTGATATCATTATGTGTTTGGGAGGAAATTTTCACAAACTCTTATCACTCAAATACATCGTTTATTTGTGTATAATTTTTCTTGTTAATGTCCCTGTTAATACTAAATTATTAAAATATTCTTATGATAAATAATCAAATAAACAGAAGGGGTTTTGTGGAGATTTCAGTATTTTCATAGTTGGAATCATGAGTCAGTTAAAGCTAGACCACTATGGAGAACCTCGAAGCACTGGACGGCCGTTTCGTCCTATTGTGGGACTCCTCAAAAGTGCTTCTCACTAGAACTCCAGGAAATATCTCTTGAAGTCAGCCACTAGTGACCAGTGGAGTTCAACCACGTCTGTTGTGAGATATCAACTCACTGGAGACAATTGGTGAACGGTTGATCAACGTCATGGATTGGTTGAAGTTAGACAGTAACACCAACGGATGCCGACTCAGTAGTCTAGTGGTTAAGCGCTCTGGCGCGAGATTGATAGGTCCTGTGCTCGAATCTCGCAAGGCGGGATCGTGGATGCACACTGTTGAGGAGTCCCACAAGAGAACGAGAAACAGCCGTTCAGTGCTTCCAGGTTTTCCATGATGGTCTAGCTTCAATTGACTCATGATTTCAACTATATATAATATGTATTAGTTTAGATGATCTCGTTGTTCACATTTGTATTGGATTTTGTTTAGACTTAGCCACATTCTATCTGTTCTATATAAAGGATTACTTTTATTAATTCATGTTATTTTTATTGATCTTGGCTCCCCTGATACACCAATCATTTTGTCATCATATTGTATTTTTAACATTTTATGTTATCATAACCACTGCTGACTTATAACAATTAGTTACCCAATCCACTCTATGTTTGATTAGTAATTCATAAGTTGAGTTAATTATATTTTCTCATAGTTCATATAAATATTATTGTTTACTTGAATAGAGAGTATTGGTAATCTAAGCCAAAAACAATATTATTCATTTGAAAGTCTTGTATTCATAGCTAATCATATCATTGTGTTATATCTATGATGACCAAAACCACAAATAATTTTTTATGTAATCATCAGAAATAAAATTTGTCAGTGAACCAGTATGCTAAAAAAAACTGTCTCATGTGCTTGACATCACAAAATTGAAATGGCTTGACAGATTAATAAGCTCTTCGGATTTACTCTGATCTAATCAGGGAAATGCATATTCCCTATTCTAATTAAATAAACATTTAACTTTATTTACATGTAATGCTGACTGATCTCTACATGGATAACAGCTGAAACTGAATTACTGGGCAGTCTTCAGATTTGAACTGGAGTCCTATGATTTGTTTGTCTGGTTTTCTACCAATTGTTCTTTGAGACCCAATCATTGAACAAACCTAAATTTTACCAAGAGTTGTGACTGAAAAAGTATTCCTGATCGTTTTAAAATGCTAACGACCATCCTTCCACACAACTTAATTTTACAAATTGGATTACCATTATGCGCTGAACTTACACATGAAAACTATGCATATATAATCAAAGAGTAGTTTTCTCAGTACATAAAAACATAATTCCTATACAACATTTTTTTAACATTTTGAATCCTGATGTCCACTTCAGTGGAAAGATGAGTAAGCTTTTAAACTGAGTCTCTTGAGGTTACTTGTTGCAAAATGTTGTACAATATATTTTATTTGTATACATACATAATAATGTACTCCAATAGTACAACAAAATAATCACTATAATCTTAAACACTTCCTTGTGTTTTATGCTACTATAAAATGGTTGTAGTATTTGTATCATGACGTTCTTATTTATGGATCATAATTTTCGTCATATAATGTGCAAACATGTTCTTAAATTCTCCCCATGATCATACAATCTTCATCAGCGGAGTTAGATAAAAGTAAAACTTATTTGGAATGATTTAGTAATCAGTCAATTTATATACTAAGTAGATATGAAAACAGACTATCTACTTTTTTTCTGTACCCGTTTCTCTCTCAAAAAATCACTAATATTAACCTATGTAACATTATTGTATCTACTAACGCAACCAAACGACTGAAGAGTTCTATGTTTTATCACAATACTTTTAAAGTAGGTCATTTCTCACTTTTTAAGGTTTACTTTTGTTGATTGTTAGAATCCTTTTCAGAAGTATTATTTGTCGTATGAATTTTATATTTTCCTGTTAAAGAACAGATCGTATTTTCCTTCCAACAATTGTATTAACCAAATTTTGATGTTAGTCAGTAAAATTAGTTCTCAGTTATTCATATTATTTTATAACAATCGTACATCATCAATTAAATATGCTTGAAAATCAAACTTCACTCATGTGTGAGTTTTAGTTAGTTATCAAACTTTTTACTCATTGTGTTGTTGAGATTGATTAAAGGGACTTCATTTTCGAAATTTATCTCTGTTAAATTCCATATGGTGATTCTGATAGCAGACCAAAAACCAAAACAGACCCGAGTTAGTATATCACATTTCCAGTTGGTATTTAATCAATACTGTTGACATGCGTTCTTTTTAAATGTCACTTATAGTTAACCGACTTACTATTGGTTTGGCTTTACTATGTAACATGTACAATCAACCAATCAGATTTAATATGGCTTTCTCAATCAGGTTACTATCAGAAAGTCAACCTAATCAATATCATAATCAGTCACGTCGTGTATCTTCGTCTGTCTACAAATGAATTCCATATCAGTACGTCGCTAAATAAATAAAGCTCACTGAATAAAACAATTCGTCTATCAAGAGATTTATCTGTTATTTAGAAAAAAAGCAGCGATTTATATTTTTCTCCTGAGATTACATTGGTAGTTAGTCTATTGATAATAATTTTGAAGTGGTGTTCATTTGATGTTAAGTAATTGTGATAAAAAAAGTGTTCTGAAAATTTACGAAGTCTGAGTCGTCATAATCTGCTTTCTACGTAGTTTTGCCATACTACATTTTAAAGATAAACGTGTGTATGTATTACATTAATATAATATTATCATAATTTTTAATGGTGACTCTCAGTTATGCTTTTAGGAATCTGTTGAAAACATCAATCTGTTTACTGTTTGTGAAGATATTTTGAGGTCCATTATTTTGAATGAAGAGTCGAGGTAGAAAAGGGATACCGTGACTTTATTTTATATATATGATAACTTAGAATTGTACGGTAAGATTTTAGATTTGACAAAAATATCTTCTGTTTCTAGCTTTCATAGTATAAACAATCTACTGATTTAGAAAGTTCTCTATCTCTAGATTAGTATTCTTTTGATGTTTCTTCATTGCAATTATTACATGCAAATGTAATATGTTGTATTAGTGGAACAAATGCAACATCGTCTTTGCCTATATAGATAGGTGTTTTCATAATATCTCATTTCATGACATTCATCATTGTTTATTCAAGTAAAAACTGTTTAGCTAATTAAAGTGCCGATTAATCTTTTGTAAGAGTGAGGTAGTCACTTTATGTTTAAAAAATTTATGTAAAATA